TCACCCAAACTAAATTCATTATGATTATACAGTCATTATTATCATATCCTCTCCTATTTTCTTATTTCAAAATAAACGAAGACCCGCACATTTCCGTGGGCCCCTCCAGGAATCACAGGCCCTGGCACTGTGCTTTCTGAGGGTCTGACGGAGAGGCCAGCCCGCCAGGCAGTGCTGGGGAGTCCCCACCCCCCTGGCCCCACAGGCCACATTGCGTCACCTCCGCGGGCACTCAGGAGGGACCCGCCCTGTGTTTACGACCAGTCGTGTCGTTGACACCTTTCCTGTGTCACGCACTGAGTGACATGCTTTCCATGAATTATCCTGTGTTTACTCCTGATTTACAGGTAGGGAAAGTGACACTGGAGAGGCAAAGTGACTTGCCTCTGTCACACAGCCAAGGTCTGTGTGACACCACAGCCTGTGTTCCCATCGTCTCCCCAGGGCCTGGGCCTGGGTGGGCACCACTCACTCAGCGTGACGCTCCCTCCCGTGCCCACAGACTCGCCTGGGCACACACTCCCCACCCCCGCCCCCCACCCTGGCAGTGTCCTGCAGCAGAAGCCCCACCCGGGTTTCTGTCCCCAGCCCCGGGGCAGTGACGCTAACCAAGCATATCCTTGCCCAGCACAGGCTCTCCTGGCCCTCTGCGGAGCCAGGCGGCCCAGGCCACCTCCCGCCCCAAGGGGTGGCAGTGCCCAAAGAAGGTGAGGGGCTGAGGTTGTGGCAGAGCAGGGGGAGGGCCGTGAGCTGGGGCTGGTCTGGCGGGAGCGTGTCTGCCCTGTGCTGGGCACCGCGTGGTGCAGGGCCCGCCCCCCGCCTCTGGGGGCTCAGTGCCATCCTGGTGGTTATTTTATCCTTGTTCCCTGTTGCAGCGGGTGAGGGGAGCCCCTGCTGGCCTGGGCTGTGGAAAGGGTCCGATGGGGTACGCACAGCGCTGACCACAGGGCCTGCTGCAGAGAGAGTGAGTGAGTGAGTGAGTGAGCGCTCAGCAAGTCAGAGCTGAGTGCCTTCCAGTGACCCCCACCACTGTAATCTGGGCACGTGAGACAGGCGAGCATTATTAGGTCAGAGGAGGTGCCGTCCGTTCAGAAGAAAGGACGGAATTGGAATTGGTGGACGTGGGGTGCAGAGTGTGTGCTCAGCAGATTAGAGCTGAGTGTATTCAAATCATGTCCCACCACTGGAATCTGGGGAGATGATAAAGGCGAGAACTAGGGCAGAGGAGGTGTAGTCCCTTCGGGGGAAAGGACGGAATGGTAGGCTGGTGGGGTGTGGGTGAGGGTGTCAGAGAGAGGATCAGCCCACCAGGCATGTGCAGGTTTCTGTGCGGCCAACCCTGCACCCTCCCAGCTAGGGGAACCAGCCAGCCCTGTTCGCCCAGGACGGCCCCCATTTCAGCACTGCAAATGTCACGTCCCGAGAAACCCCTCAGTTCTGGGCGAGCGGGCCCGCCGGTGCTGCTAGAACACACAGCTGGCACAGGGCACTAACTGCCCAGCACCAGGCTCAGACCTGGCCTTGGACCCTGAGCCCTTGGCCGAGTGAGGCTGAAGGACGCCAGCACCACCCCCTGAGATGACACACTGTGGAGCGTCCCGCTCCCGTAACCCTCACACGGCCCTTTGCTGCTCCCAGCTCCAGAGCTCAGCTGCTCAGCTGCAAGGATCGGGGAACAAAATCTGCAGGACAGCCCAGAGCACTGACTCCGTCCTGGGAAATGAGAGGGGGAACTCCAGCCTGGCCCTGGCCAACTGCCCACCCTTGGAATCTCCCGGCCGCCCCCCACCCCGGGGCCTTTGCTCCGTTCTCTCCTCCTGACGCCCTTTCCCCGCCTGGACTCGTCTTGGAGACGGTGTTCTCCTACTCCCGTGTGTAGAAGTGGGTTCTCTCCATGAGATCGCAAGGAAAGCATTCCAGGAGACCCACATAAGGGAGATTATTGCGTCGTACGATTTATTTGGGTGAAAGTAGAAGGCTGCCCCCCACACTCCCAAGGTCTCACCCCCATCCGTCCCACTGTGGAAGAAGTCCGACTTTGTCTTCATATGGCCCAGGATTAGGGTCAATGTCCAGCGATGCTGTGCCCCGCCAAAGTTTAGTCCAGATCAAAGTGTAGTCCAGTTCCCGGCTGTGCTCCACTGGCTGGCCACTGCTGTACCCACCGCCCAGGCTTGGCTGGAAGCCCCTTAGAGTCTGCGGCTGCTGGTGGGTGCTGCACGGGGCTGCACGGCTGCTCTGGGGAGAACAGTGCATGAAGGGTTGGGGCAGTCTAGTGTTACGGAGCACAAGAAAGGCGAGGGGAGCTTCTTCCTTAGGCCAATATTATCTCTGGCCTGGGACTGACCCGGAGCTTCTCTAAACTAACCAGTCCCCTTCCCGAGCTTCCCGGACTTGTGTGGGGTCCTCCCCCTAACCGGTCTATTTGCTGGATCTTCCAAGGCTCGGTGTGTCTCATCCAATCAGGTCCCTTTTCCCAGGCTAAACGGACGGGCCTCTGTGGTCGCTCTCTTGGCTCCTATTGCACACGTGCTCGTCCCCGCATCACCACCCTCCACCCCCACAGTGGCAGCAAAGGCAGCCCTTCCTCCCTATTCAGGGAGGGAGGGGTGTTAATCCCCTTGGGGTGGGGGGCAATGCTGCCATCCCCTGGGGCACCTATGAGTGCTGCAACCTCCTAGCAAAGCAGGGTTATGCTTCACAGTCGATTATGCTTAACACTGTCTGGTTTCCTTCGCTCCCTTCCTTTATTCGTATTTAGCTACCGATGGCAACCCTCGGACCGGGCAGGTGCCCACAGTGCCCTCTAGAGCAGCCCCCAACCCTGTACACCCACCTCTTTTTCGAGGGTTGTCCTGACCCCCTTGGAGGAAGGACGAAGGAAGGAAAGCGGAAGGAAGAGTCTCAGGCGGCACCGCAGTTCCCAGAAGGTCCCAGCAAAGCCGAGGGGAATACTTGAGAGTGCACGGCTCCCAGCCACAGCCCGCCTCACGGTCCTGCAGGTGGTGGCCGGGGGCAGCCGTGGGGACTTGGCCTCAGAGCTAAGGGCGCAGCTGTCCCCTCAGTCAGGCTCCTGGCGTCAGAGAGACACGTTCCCATGGCAACTGCAAGGGCACTGCCTCTCTGAAGCCGTGGCGATTTTTAAAAACATCTTTGTTGGTAAATAATAATACGTGCACCCTATAGCTCAGCCATTGAGTGTGTACTGTTCCCGGGGTTCGGTGTATTCACACTCGTGCAGTTGTGACCACAGGCTGATTTTGGAACATTTTCATCAGGCCAGAAAGACACGATGGACTCCTTCCTCATCCCCCACCCCTCCTCCTCCACCCCCAGTCCACGGCAGTCACGGGTCCCCCCTCTGTCTGTGTAGATCCGGCTCTTTCTTAGAAATGGAATCGTATAATGTGTGGTCCTTTGTGACTGGCTTCCCTTGCTCAGCATAACGCTTCACGGCCCATCCCTGTTGTAACATCCACGCCGTTCCCTCTTGTCGCCGATCGACATTGCAGCATGTGGACCTGCCGCATGCTGGTCATCAGCCGATGGACATTTCGGTTTCCCCCACCTTCTGGCTGTGATGAATGGTGCTGCTTATGAATATACCCGCACGAGTCGTCGTGAGGACACGATGGACTTTAAAAGGGTCCCTCCCTTTTAAAGGGTCCCTCCAGGTGTTTCTCACGGGTAGAAAGCTGGGAGCGGAATTGCTGGGTCGAGGGCAAACTCCATGTCCGACAACTGATGGAGGGACTCCCAGGGTAGTCCCCATTTCCCGTGCCTGGGAGCAGCGTGCACGGGTTCCAGTGTGGCGACACCTTGCACACGCTTGTAACCACCCGTCTTCTCTGCGGAGCGGCCGTCTCGGTGGGTTCGCGTCTGCGTCTTCCCGCAGCGACTTCTCCCCGGGGACTGTGGAGGTGGAGCATATTTCCACGTGCTCATTAGCCATGGACATGCCTGCGGACGAAGTTCAAATGTACGATTTGCAAACATCTTCTCCCACACCGTGGGCTGTCTTTTCCCTTTCTCGACGGTGCCCTTTGAAGCACAAGCTTTTCATTGTGGCGAAGTCCAAGTTCCCTGTGTCTCCTTCTGTTGCTTGTGCTGTCGGCATTGGAGAGGAGACCATCTTCTAACTCAAGGTCACAAAGGTGTGTCTCTGTTTTCTTCTTATGGTTTCGTAATTTCAGGCTTTGCATTTAGGCTTATCGTCCACGCTGAGTTAATTTTTGGGTATGGTGTTAGGTAGGGACCCAAATGCATACTTTTACATGTGGGCGTCCGGTCGTCCTGACACAACTGGTCGAAAAGACCATTCTTTTCCGACGGAATTTTCTCGACACCTTATCGCACAGCAGTCGGCCGTGAACGCGAGAGTCCATTTCTGGACTCTCACCAGTTCTGTCCTGTTGCTTCTACGTCTGTCCTGGCGCCGGCGCCGGCGCCACGCTCCCTTGGTTCCTGGAGCTTCTCAGTCAGTTGTGTGCAGCGAGTCCTCCACGGTTTGCCACGACATTCGTCTTTGAACTGTGTGTCTGTTCCGTCTCTTCTGATCTGCGGTGCCCCGGACGTTTTCCCCCTTGCGTTCTGTTTGTCTGAAGGAACAGGGTCATTTGTCCTGTGGAGGTTCCCTCGGTCCGCATCGGTGGACTGTGTCCCCATGGTGTCTTTTGTCCCTTGCTTCTGAGTGCTCAGCGGCCTTACGTGGTTCAGATTTCGTTTTGGCAGGCGGTGTGTGCATTTCCAGAGCCAGAACGTAAGGGAGGGTTGACTCTGTGATGTCAGGGGCTATTCGTGATCTTTACCTGGATCGTTTTATCCCCCATTAAAGGTGATTTACATTTTAAAAGGGTCCCTCCCCGTTGCTGGGGCGGGAGGGTGTCACCAGGTAGTTCTGAGGACTGGGGGATAACGCTGCAACGAAGCACGTACTGCCACGCCGGATGCTCGGTGGCCGCTCCATAAAGATTGGCCCTTGTCACCATTGCTGTTACTAGAGCTGTGTGTGGAGGACGCAAGCGCTGGGCTCAGAGCCATTTCCTGGCCAGCGTGTTCTACCCCCTTCTCCTCCGCCGCCGGAGGAGGGGTCGTCCGTGCCCCACGGCTGTGGGAGGCATGTTCAGGAATTCGGCAGCCGTCTGTTTGCACCTGGTGAGGTCCCTCCGGAGAAGGAAGGCTGGAGCTTCACTCAGCCGGTGCTTGCACCAGACTGTAAGTGCATTCTGCCGCTTCTGTGACGCAGGGCCTCTGGGATCTGGCTTGGTCTTGGCTTGAAACCTGCGCATGAGCCTCCTCTTTCAGGGAGCTTTCCCTGACTGCACCCTGAATGCATCCCCCACCCCCCAGCCACCCTTTGCCCTTGCCTCTAATTTAGAACTTGTAGCTCTGCATGTCAATGGTTGCTTGGTGCTGCTGCCTCCCCGTCACCCACTGTGTCCAGCCCATGTTCGCTCGGTACGCAGTCGGCACTCAGCAAACGTCCGCTGAACAAATACTTCATGCATAAACCCAAAAGCGAGCATCCAACTGCTGTGTGACGTACTTGAAGGTTATCCCCTTGAACACGCCACGTTTCTGTGGTACCCTCATTGTTTTTATCTCCTGCCGAAACTCTTTTGCCTCTTTTTTCTCTCTCTGTGCCCCTGTACCCCTCTACTCTTTCCCACCCCAACCCCCACATATTTAATAAAAAAAAATAAAACATTTAGCCCTGGTTGGTGTGGCTCAGTGGTTGAGCGCTGGCTTGCAAATCAAAGGGTCGCCTGTTCAATTCCCAGTCTAGGACACATGCCTGGGTTGCAGCCAGGTCCCCAGTAGGGGGCGCACAAGAGGCAACCACACACATTGATGTTTTTCTCCCTCTCTTTCCTTCTCCCTTCCCCTCTCTAAAAAGTAAATAAGTAAAATATTTTAAAAAATAAAATAAAACATTTATTTTAGAAAACTGGGCCCTGGCTAGATAGCTCAGTTGGTCGGGGCACCGTCCTGATACATCAGGGTTGCTGGCAGTTTCCCGTTAGTCCCCACACGGGAGTCGCCAATGAGTGCGCGGATGGGTGGGACAATGCATCAGTGTTTCTCTCTCTCAAATCAATCAATAAAATTTTTTTAGGAAAAGAAAATTTGGAAAATGAGAAAATTGTAAGGAAGAGAGGAAAAAACATCTGTTAACCAACCAGCCAACCAAAAGTAATCACTGCTGATTAACATTATGGTGGTAACATGGTTTTCCCCAGCAGGGATCACCCTCACTTTAAACTTTTTTAAAAAAGATTCTATTTATTTATTTTTAGAGGGGGGGAGGGAAAAGGAGAGGGAAATATTGATATGAGAGAGAAACATCAATTGGTTGCCTCTCCCGCGCCCCCAACAGGAGACGTGACCCACAACCCAGACATGTACCCTGACCAGGAATCAAACTGGCAGCCTTCCTGTTTACAGCTGGTTAGAGTGTCATCCCGATACACCAAAGTTGCAGGTTTGATACCCAGTCAGGGCACATACAAGAATCAACCAGTGAGTGCATCAATAAGTAGAACAACAAATCGATGTCTGTCTCTCTCTCTCTATCCCCCTCTCTCCCCCTTTCTCTAAAATCAATACATTTTTTTTACATTAATTTTTTTTAAGATGACTTGTTTATTTTTAGAGTGGGGAAGTGAGGGAGAAAGAGAGGAAGAGAAACATCAATGTGTGGTTGTCTCTCATGCGCCCCCTACTGGGGACCTGGCCCACAGCCCAAGCATGTGCCCTGACTGGGAGGTGAACCGGTGACCCTTTGGTTCACAGGCCGGTGCTCAATCCACTGAGCCACACCACCAGGGATAAAAATTCAATTCTTCTGATGTACACCGAGTGCCTGGCCCGGCGATATGCATCAGGGACTCAGTACAGGGAGAGAATGTCGACAAAGCTCCCACGAGGTGCCAGTCCCTGTGTGGGGCTCTCTCGGAACTGCTGGCATTGGCAGGACCCCCAGGCTCTGGAAGAACCTGGCCCACAGACACAGAGTCCCCGGGCCACTGGGGGACTTGGCGCTGGCAACCTTGCTGTTGCTGCTACCCTGGCCAGGGTCCTGGCTGGCTCCTCCTCAGACCTTGGGCAGGTCCCTGAACCTTCAGATGGAGACTTTATATCACAGTCACCTCTGATAGGGGTGCTGTGGGGACAGAGCGAGACTGTGAGAACCAGGGCCCTCCATCAGCCACAGCAGGCGGCCGAGGAAACCAGGAGAACCTTAGAGACCTGCCAGCCACGAGACTTGCAAAGCTGCTGAGGGACCTCAAAGCCCACGCTCCTATTACATACCGACGGGGAGACTGAGGCCAGGAGCAGCTCAGTCACCCGCCCAGTGTCACCCAGCCAGGGCGGGCCTAGCGCCTGAGTGTGTGGCCCTCGGCCAGGCCAGTATCTGCACATCTGTGGGGGAGGGGGAAGCTGACCTGGAAAGAAAACGGGGGAAGGGAGGGGTGGCTGGAGGAGGGCCCCCGAGCCACCCCCAGAATTGAGCAAGTCCACCTGGGTCAGCACATGGCCTCCTCTCGGCCCGAGTCCGAGTGTATCTGTGATGTGACCTTGAACATGTCACTCCCCACTCTGTTTTCTCGTTTACAAACTGGGCCCAGCCAAGTGGTTCCGAGAAGGGAACGGAAGCGCCTAGCCAGTGCTCTGCACAGTGAAGCTGCTGCCGTCACCGTCCCATGATCCTTTCCCCGCTCCGTGCCTCCCGCAGCCTCGGCCCTGCCTCCTGAGCCCCAGGCCTTCGGGAGTCAGACCGAAACCTGACTGCGCTGGGGCCGCGTCTCAGAACCTGAGGAACCGGGCCAGGGGAGGGAGGGGCGGGGACGCTGCTATCTGGGATCTCGGCCTCCTCCCTGGGCGTGGGTGGGACGGGCTATATTGGAGCGAGGGAGGTTGTCCCCTCTCTTTCTAGGGACCCAGACCGCAGCAGTTCCTCCACTCTGACCTTCCATTTGCTCTGTCTCCAGCCCACCATGGCCAAACAGCTGCAGGCTCGAAGGCTGAACGGGGTCGCTTACAACCCGTGGTGAGCTGGGCCGGGCCGGGGAGGTGGGGGCGAGTGTCTCCTCGGGGGTTGGGGGTGGGGGTGGGAAGGATGCAGCCGGTGGTCCCCAGGTCTGCAGAAACTCGGTGGTACCCAGGGTGGTCAGATTGGCAGCCACAGCCTACGAGAGGCTAGACCCAAAGCGGCAGGCTTGGGTTCAATCTCAGCTTCAGCCCACTTGGCACTGGGGCCGCTGACCCCTGCCCAGAGCCCCAGCTCCCCAGTTGCAAAATGGAGATGATTGTATCTCCATCTAACAACCTTGGAGGGGATGGGACAAAAGGCAGTGTGATGGCAATAGCCAAGACGCAAGCACAGGCGTCCCAGGGACTCTGTTTCACGCGCACTGCGGAATAAGACAAGGCAAGCCGAGAAGATACGGCGCTCCTCACCGGGCCTTTGCCGAGGTTCATCTCGCTCCCTCACCGACTTGCGCTCCGTACGGAAGGGTGTGTGCCCATCGTTCCTGGTGATGGGACGGGTGCCGTGGGAGGAGGTGTGAGGAGGGTTCTGCGACCTTCTGGCCCACATCTGACCTTGGCCTGGGCCAAGTGGATAAAACAGCTGTGGTGCAGGCACACGGTGGACCACTCCTCGGCTGTAAAATACAAAAATCTTACCCTTGGCGACGGCATGGATGGATCTGGAGAGCATTATGCTGAGTGAAATAAGCCAGTCAGAGGGAGACACGTGCCCTGTGATTTCACCCATTTGTAAAATCTACTGAACAAACTGAACTAACAAGCAACACAGAGACAGACTCACAGAGGCAGAGAGAGAGCAGGCTGACAGCTCTCGGGGCTGGGGAGCTGGGGGAGCGGCTGAACGAAAGAGAGGAAGAAAGAACTCACGGACACGGACAACAGCTCGGCGATTGCAGGGGCTGCGGCGTGGAGGTGGGAGATACCACAGGGGGGATAAGTGGCGATGGGGAGAAATGAAATAATAAATACATCGCTGGCTGTTGTTTTTACAAATCACGGGGCGATTATTTCTTTTAAGCTCCCCTCATGGACAGTACTTTGTGTTTTGCGAATATGCCCCCCTCCCATCCTCTTCGATGCTCCGTGGTGTTTGGGACGGGGGGGGGGGGCCAGGCCCAAAGGCCCCGTAGAGACCGGCTGAGGTCCACGCTGGGGCTCCAGGGCCCTGCTCCTCACTCAGGCTGCCACCCTCCGTCCTTCCGTGAGGCAGGCTGGGCAGCCTGGCGGCCCATGTCTTTGCAGACGAGGAGAAGTGCAACTCAGAACGGGGAATGAGGAGGAGGGAGGCTGGGGGAGGCGGCAGGAGTGCATCCTGACTCCCAGATGTGAGGGGCCCTCGAGCCCAGCCACCCCCCATGTACATAGGGGCCATGGGCCAGGAGAGGCGAAGTCTCAGGCAAAGGCAGGGCAGAGCGGCAGGGGCCCGGGGAGCATGCACAGGACAGGAGGGCAGTGTTGGGGGTCAAAGCCACAAGAGTCAGGGGGAAGGGGCTCCAGGTTCCTGCTGACCCCAGGGGGGTGGCCTGAGGACCGAGACCCTACAGGCCCAGGCCGGAGGGCAGCTCATCTCGGCAGAGTGTTAGTTAGAGTGGGGCCCTGTCCTGGTCACCGCCGTGGACTCCCCACCAGCGGACTCTGTGCCTCGGCACTGTCACGAGCTGCTGTGTGACTCTGGGCAGGTCACTGCCCTCTCTGTGCCTCAGCAGCTCCCCGTGTCTTCAGGGGCATTGCGGAGCTCTGGGGAGAAAGGGACTGACTCTGGACATAGCAACAGTCATTGTTATGAAGAGGTAGCTCAGCCTAGCTTGAGTCCTCTGCCCCCAGCCGACCTGCAGCCCCACACCAGCCTCAGCCTCCTCGTCCCGCTTCTCGTCCTCTCCCCCAGTCTCCCTGAAGAGGCGGGCACCAGGCAGGCCCAGAAGAAAGGTGGTCGAGGGCCAGAGAAGGCAGATGGCCGGGCTGGGGGGGCCCCGGTCTCTCCGGGGTAACGATCGAGAGCGTCAACTTTGCTCCAGAAGACAGCCGTGGGGTGACAGGCTGGCCGTGCCAGGCACTAACTGGACAGGGCCCTCCAGCTCTGGCCTCTCCATTCCCACCGTGACTCGGGAATGGGATGCGCCTCGTAGATACCGGGAAGGTTACGGGAGCAAGCCTTTCAGACTGGAGTTGACAAGTGCGCGGATGGGTGGTGAAACCCACTGGAGGGGGTGTTGCTCAACAAGTACCTCTGAAGAACTGACTAGGACAGAACAGAACGGAAGGGAACCAGATCACGCAGAAGGCCCCTGTGACGCAGGGCCTTGCGGCGTAAAGACGGTTGGTTGCTCGTTGTGGGTCGTGGTTGAAACGTTTGAAAGCCCCTGGGCGGAGGCACACGTTTGGCGCGGTGCCCGGCCTGCCTAACTGGAAAGCACGCGGCCAGGTGTGAGCCTGACCCAGACCTCCAGGCCAGGGCAGATTCTCGCCGTCCGGTTTTTCTGGACGGAGCCCGGAGCACTGCTCGCCTGCCCTGGACACAGGCAGAAGTCCGGGGTGGGGCAGAGCGACGGGCTGGCGCCAACTCTCCATTTGTTGCCCAGGGTGGAGATGGCCCAGCTGACCTCTCAGTACGAAGCTGTGAATTTGGGACAAGGCTTCCCCGACTTCTCGCCTCCAGACTTCGCCGTGGAGGCCTTTCGGCAAGCTGTCACCGGTGACTTCATGCTCAACCAGTACACCAGGGGATTTGTGAGTCTCGCAGCTGCACCTGGGCCCCTGGACGCAGGCCTCTGAGGCGGCCCTGGGTGGGGGGCGGGCAGAGCCCAGGGAATCCAGCCTAGAACTCAGTGTCCACTGAGTCTGTCCTCTGTTTCAGGCTCGGGGACAGCCCATAGTCTGGGGAAAGGAAGACAAAAACACAAACAAACAAGAACCAAAGTCAGTAGATACGCTGTGATGGAGGAGAATAGGGCAGGAAGAAGGGGAGATCAGGGAAGGCTTCCTGGAGGAGGTGACAGGCTGAGCCATGAAAGACAAGCCGCTGATTGAGACATGCAGTTGTTGTGATTTGACTCTCAGTGCAAACTCCTTCTGCGGAGGCTCACAGCGTAAACATTTGCCAACCCTTGGAGTAGACCAGGGGTTCTTACACGTTGGTGTGCATCAGAGTGGTCAGGAACGACGTTCCCTCCAATTCCATCACCCATAGATAACCCTGCTGGCAGTTGGCTACTTTTCTTAGAGAGCTCAGACTTAAACTTTTAACTTTTAAAAATGCTTATATAACACACACACACGCATGCATATATATACCTACCCGAGAGTTGCACTTAACACAAATGGGCTCATACTATAACATCCTGTAACTTGTTTATTTCACTGAACAGCATGTCAGGAACAACTTTCCATGTTGCAATTGCCTCGTTCTTTTTCATGGCCGCATAGTATTCCATTGCCTAGCTCTGCCGCGGTTTACTTAACCAGCCCTGCTCTGCTGGCCTGGCCTGGATATCTTACTATTATTATCAGCAGTGTCGCAATGAACAGCTCTGTGAGCACATCTTTGTACATGTACATGAGTGCTCCTCTCAAATAAATCCCCAGAAGCAAAACTAGAGGATCCACGTGGGGAAGCCTTTAAGCCTGTGGTCAGTGTGGCCAGGTGGCCTCCAGGAGGCTTTCACGTTCCTGCCGCAGGCCGGTCTCCGAGCGGGCAGGAACGTGCATTCTCTGGGCGAAAGAGAGGAGTCATTTGTCTTACTCTTGCCACCCTGGGCCGTGCCAATCTTTCTTGTCTGCTAGTAGTGACATTGCTTTCCTATAAAATAGCGATATGTCACTGGTACTTTGCTTTTCTTCAATTATGATTCTTTCGTATGCACATCGGGTGTCAGCACCGTCTCTTTCGTGACCTGCCTCATTTTTGCATTTGGGTGTGCATCTTTATCTTGTTGCTTTGTAAGAGCTCTTTACATATTAAACACCTTACCTGCTTTTCTTACACTGCAGTGCTTTTTCTCTTTGCCTTTTAACCTTGCTCATGGTATATTTCTCTGTACAGATGCTCTTTGTTTTTATGTGGTCAAATCTGGTTTAGTGAACTATTTAGTTAAATTCGCCATCTTCGGTTCCAGTGTTTTCTAAGCTTCCTCAGCAAACAAGCGTGCAGATCCAACCTTCCTCTCCACGCGGGGTCTTCCCAAAGCTGCGGCACAAAACCCTGTTCCTGCACCTCTGCCGACCCCTGCGGCAGGCCCACTGTGTGTGACCCAGGGCGAGTCATCTCCTCCCCTCGAGGCCTCTGTGGTTCTGCCCGCCACGTGATGGGGATGAAACGGTGCCTTCCTCGCAAAGCTGCTGGGGTGACCCGATGGCGTGAATGTGCTCCTTCAACCTAAAAGGAGGCGTTCAGGGTGCCGAGCTGCCCCCGCTCTGTGGCTGTGTTGGGCTGTGCTCCGTGAAGGCGCGCATGCGCACGCTGTGCGGCTCCCCAGCCCGGGGCAGGGGGCCTGGCACAGCAGCACAGGTCCCGGGACCAGCGCTGTGGGGGAAGTGGAGGACCCCCGCCCCCACAGGGGCCGGCCCCGCCCCAGCCCGCCGCTAGAGGGCGCTAGAATGACCTGGGTGTTGCCGAGCAGGAGGGTGGGCCGGGCTGAGCCGGACGGCTGACCCCAGCTGTCCCGGCAGGGCTACCCACCGCTGACAAAGATCTTGGCAAGTTTCTTCGGGAAGCTGCTGGGACAGGAGATAGACCCGTCCAAGGAGGTGCTGGTGACCGTGGGTGCGTACGGGGCCCTGTTCACGGCCTTCCAGGCCCTGGTGGACGAAGGGGATGAGGTGAGTGGGGCAAGGCTTGAGCTGGGTGGGGGTCAGGGGTCAGGGGTCAGGGCGATGCCGACCCCAGCTGATCTGACCCTTGCACCAGGTCATCATCTTCGAGCCCTATTTTGACTGTTATGAGACCATGACGCTGATGGCGGGGGGTTGCCCTGTGTTCGTGCCCCTGAAGCCGGTGAGAACGCTGGGTGGGCGCGGGCGGGCGCGGGGTCCAAGCAGCGTGCTGCCTCGGAGCCTGGGAGGCGGGAGAGGAGGAGGGGGTGAAGGGGGCCAGTCTCTCCTGGACGGGGAGAGGGTGGGGGCAGATGCCTGGCGGGGGTGGGGGGCCGTGGCGAGGAGGGTCCCATCCCTAGCCCTGCCTGTCAGGTGAGTCGGCACTGCCCCGCCCCTTGCAGACCCCCGCCCAGAAGGGGGAACTGGCTTCCAGCAACTGGCAGCTGGACCCCGAGGAGCTGGCCAGCAAGTTCACACCTCGCACCAAAATGCTAATCCTCAACACGCCCAACAACCCCCTGGGAAAGGTACTCGACAGACCTCCTTCTGGGGACCCCTCCGGACTGGGTTCAAGTCCCCGCCCTGCCACTGACTGGCCGCCTTGGGGCCTTGGTTCCCTCCTCAGTGAAGCGGGGGGCTACCAGTGATGAGCCGTGAGGACCAGGCCCCCGGCGGCCCCCGGGGCAGGGACGGCCATCCCCAGGGGCAGCGTGAGGGGAGGTGGTGGAGCGGCCGGGCGCCTCCACACTTCCTTCCCCATGACCGTGACCCTGAGACAGGGGCTCCACCTCCTGGAGTGTTTTCTCGTCTGTAAAGCGGGAGCATGACAAACCCGTGGGAAGGACAACCCGGCCTCCCCCCCCACCCCCGTGCGTCTCCCACGCTGTCACACAGCCACCACCCCCCCAAACCTTCCGACACCAGGCGCGTAGGCCTTCTCCCCACGCCAGGCGATTCTGTAACGCCAGCCGGCGGTCCGACAATCCAACTCAGTTTAATTCACTTCCGACCCTGTCTTCCTGGAGGCGGCATCTGATCTCGAAGGCTAAGGGCTCAGCCCCACGAGACTGTCCCCAGCCCACGTCAGATGCCAGTCTCCGGCCCAGGTTGTCACCCACGCGCCTGAGCTTCTGACCAATGAGCTGTGAACCTCAGCTTCCCGCATCCCCCTCCTCGGGTGCAGTCGCTGGGCTAGAGCGGCTCACACAACTGGGAAACACTCATGTTTTCCGCTTTATGGGAGAGAGCGGGACGAAGGAGCAGATGGAGGCCCGCAGGGCCAGGTCTGGGGGCAGCTCAAGCACGGGAGCCCCTGTCCCGGGGAGTCAGGGTGCGCCACCCTCCCGGGTGGACGTGCTCACCAGCCAGCAGCTCTCTGAACCCCGTCGCGTTGGGTTTTACGGAGGCTCCATCATGCACACATGGTCAATGGTTAAGTCCATTTCCGGTCCCTCTCCCCTTCCTAGAAGAGTCAGGCTGAACACGCCAAGCTTCTAATCCCAGCTTGGTCTCTGTGGTGACCGGCCCGTCCGGGAGCCCACCCAGAGGCACCTCGTTAGAACAAACGGTGTCTCTAGCGCTCTCGAGCCTTAGGCGTTCGCAAAGGTTTCGGGAGCTCTGTGCCAGCAGGAGTCTGGGGCAGAGTCCGAAGTGTATGTATTTCTCGAGGGGCCGGCGTGGTGGGGACACCCGGGAGGGGGCGGAACGGCCCTCGGCACGGGGCTTCTCTGAGCAGGCCTCTCCGTCTGGGCACGGCCCCGCAGGTGTTCTCCAGGGAGGAAGTGGAGCTGGTGGCGCGCCTGTGCCAGCAGCACGACGTGGTGTGCATCAGCGACGAGGTCTACCAGTGGCTGGTCTACGACGGGTGCCAGCACCACAGCATCGGTGAGCCCCGCCCCGCCCCGCCGGCCGGCCGGGCACCCCGCTCCCCGCCCAATCCAGGAGTCAGCGCAGACCGCAGGGTCTGGAGCCATGCGAGTCAGGTGACCCGGGGCAGCGGCTTACCCTCTCCGAAAAGAGAGGGGCGCAGGGGGGCACCCGCCCCCAGGGTTGTCATGAGGCCCATCTGGAATGAGCCCCGTGAACAGCTGAGCAGGAGTCAGAGTTGCGCCCTCTGGGGTTTAGTGCCCCCTCCCACCTCGCCCCCATCTCAGCAGCTGCTCTCTTTGGCCCCGGGCAGCCAGCCTCCCTGGCATGTGGGAACGCACCCTGACCATCGGCAGCGCTGGCAAGACCTTTAGTGCCACCGGCTGGAAGGTGAGTGGGCAGGGTTGGGGGGGTTGCCCCTCCCCCTGTGACCCTCAGCAGGAAAGGTGGCCTGGGAATAAGGGCAGCCCTTGGCCAGGCCCTACAAGGCCTCACCTGCTGCCTGTGTTTCTGATCCAGGTGGGCTGGGTCCTAGGCCCAGACACTCTCTTGAGGCACCTGCGCACGGTGCACCAGAACTCCATCTATCACTGTCCCACGCAGGCGCAGGTGAGGGGGACCCCCCAGGAACGGAACGGTAATACTGAGGGGGCAGGGGAGGGCCCGGGCCCAGGCTGGCTCCAGGGGCAGGTTGGCCAGAGCCGCTGGTCCCTCCCCTGCCCCGCAGGCCGCAGTCGCCCAGAGCTTGGAGCGGGAGCAGCAGCACTTTGGCCAGCCCAGCAGCTACTTCGTGCAGTTACCGAGGGACATGCAGAGCCGCCGCGACCACATGGTGCGGAGCGTGCAGCTGGTGGGCCTGCGGCCCATGAACCCGCAGGGCAGCTACTTCTTCGTGGCAGACATCTCGGACTTCAGTGCGTGGGACTGGCTGGGCGGGACAGGGGACTGGCAGGGCGGGGGGGAGGGAGCGGAGGCGGGGGAGGGGGGCTGTCTCGAGCTCAGCATGGCCTCCGCCCCCCAGGGAACAAGATTCCCGACTTGCCTGGTGCAGAAGACAAGCCCTTCGACCAGCGCTTCATCCAGTGGATGGTCAAGGAGAAGGTGGGCTGGGCCTGCGCCTGGGCCCCTGCGTGTGGTCTTTCAGGTTGCGTGCTGCTCCCCGGTGCTGATGGGCCAAAACGCAGCCCAGCCTCTGCCACGGCCCTGCCGCAGGGCTGCACCCGTTTCAAGGAACGGGGAGCCCGTTTAGTTTGCACAGAGGTGCCAAGTGGGCCGGCAGGACAGAATTCCTGGCCTCGATCTTGCCATCCGTGCAGTGAGGAGTTGGCCCATTCGCTGTGAGGTCATCCAGCTTGGAGCTATGATTCTAAGGCTTATCTTTTCTCCGGCTCTGCCTTGACCACCCCTTCCCCTCCTTGGCCTCCACGTCCCGTCTATACACAGGAGGGACTTGGGATGACATTCTGGGATTCCTTCCCTCTGACCTTGACATAGCCCTGGGAGGTGCCGCACTGAGGCAACTTTCCTTCCCCACCCCCGCCCCCACCTCGGACCCTCGGTGCCCGCAGGGAGCTGAGGCCTGCTGGGCCGCGAGGCCCTGCTGAGACTTGGGCTCCCTCCTCCCCCAGGGCTTGGTGGCCCTCCCGGTCTCCTTCTTCTACAGCAAGCAACATCAGAAGCAGTTTGACCACTACATCCGCTTCTGTTTCGTGAAGGTAAAGGACAGGGTGGGGGTGGGAAGGCCTGCCCCAGCTTCCCGAGGCCCGCTGGCCGTGCAGGGAGAAACGGGGACTGGTCTGTGTCGGCGCAGAACGAATCCACCCTCCAGGCCATGGACAAGAAGCTGCAGCAGTGGAAGGAGCAGCTCGGGGCCTGACGTCACCCCCTCGGCCCCCGCCTCGCCTGGTCGGTCCCTGCCTGCTCCGCAGGGCTCCTGGTCCGAGGTGTAGTCACTCCCAGGTTGAGGATAGAGGGTACTGGTGAGCCCCTCCTCTGTGACACAGGATGGCCCCAGGGAAGAGCCCTCCTTCTGAGTCCCGGAGGAGTCAGGAGCAGCCCCCACGGCGCCCACCATCCTGTGGGCGGAGGTGAGGGAGGCCTGGCCTGGGCCTCTCCCTCGGTCAGGCTGTAGGCTCTTGGGTCCCCTCTGGCCTCACCAGACTTGGCTGGGACTCACTGGGCACAGCCCGACGGTGTACTGGCCTGGAGTCCCAGCTCTGACCCCAGCCCTGCAGCGGCCCCAGCCAAGGCTCCGGCAACCTTGCCTTTCCTTATCTAAACTTGACCTTGGGATGTAGCCAGTACTGTCTGCCCGTAATAAAATTTGAAGGTATTCAAACTTCTGTTGGCTTCACTGTGCTTCACACGGGTGCTGACCGCTGATGGGAGCTGAGCCCAAGGGGAAGGCCCTCAGTGAACCTCAGGTCCGAGCCCCTGGTCGTCCGAGTGTGCCCTGTGGGGTAGAGTGAAGGGAGGCCCAGAGGGGGGCGGGGACGTGGGACTGGTTCGGCGTCACAGTCCATCAACGGTAGTGCCTAGAAGCAAGGCTCCGATGGTATGTGTTACTGGTTGGGGGGGCGGGGGCGGTGTGTTTAGAAGATGGGGGCCTCACTGGAGTGTCCGAGGGGGGAGATACAGATAGTCCCACCCCGTGGGGGCCAGAGTCCAGGGCAAGGAGGCCAGGGCTCACCCGGTTAGACAGGAGAGGGGAGCAGCCAGTCTTCATCGTGCGCCCTCCCGTGCGGGGCACTGGGGTGCCCAGCACCGCATCGGACAGCCCACTGAGGCCGGGATCGCTTCTCTACTTCACCAGCGAGGAGCCCACTTTGGAGGTGAGGCGACCAGCCCATGGCCATCCAGCTGGCAGAGGCGGAGTGGGGCTTGATCCGGGGGGTGGGCACCCCAGTGGCAAGCAATGACAGCTCCTGCGTGGCTTGGAAGGTGGTGCCGGGGACAGGTCTTGAAGTTGCGTTTGCATAGCAAGCCCATGGGTTTTGTTATATATCTAGTCAGGTGGGCTGATCGGCATACGTCATCCTATAAAATAACACACGTCAGGGCTGTGTTACTGGTTCCACCGGTTCCTCATAACATACATCAGGGCTTTGCAGCTGGTTTAGGGGTACGGAGCTCCTAAACCCCTTAGAAATTTCTGGGTGATAGGAGTGTCTTTTGTGATTCATAACAAGTCCATTTGAACACAGGATGAGGGGTCAGAGTTTTCAGTCCCGACCCCAGGCCCCCCGGGAGGGAAGGGGGACTGGACATTGAGTTCGGTCACATGGCCAATGGTTTAACTGACTGCGCATCTGTAATAAAGTCCTACGTAACCCGGGAGTCTTACAGAGCTTCTGCACCGGTGAGCACACCGGTGTGCGGGGAGGCGGCGCACCCGGAGAGGGTGTGAAGGCCCTGTGCCCCCCCCACCCCCGGGCCCCCAAGACCTCACTCTCTGTGTTACAATCTGGAGTCCTTGTGCCCAACACTCCGAAATGCAAAAACTCAAAACCTCAGTAAGGAAAGGCTTATTGATGGAGAAGGTACAACTCAAGAAGCTGGGGGCCACAGAAGTTCCCCAAATCCATCTTAAGAAAGTAAAGTTCAGCCCTGGCTGGTGTGGCTCAGTAGACTGAGTGCTGGCCTGCAAACCAAAGGGCCGCCGGTTCGATTCCCAGTCAGGGCACATGCTTGGGTTGCGGGCCACATCTCCAGTTGGGGGTATATGAGAGGCAACCACACATTGATGTTTCTGTCCCTCTCTTTCTCCTTCCCTTCCCCTCTCTCTAAAAATAAATAAGTAAAATCTTTAGAAAAAAGAAAGTAGAGTCCAGGCTTCTTCTATGCCAGGGGAAGGAAAAATGGGAGGGGCTATTTTTGTGTGTGAAAACTCAAGCCCCCTGCAGAACCCCTCTGACGCTCAGCAGGTCTAACGAAGGAGCTGTTAGCCTGAGGCCATGGGAACAACAGAGGCCGGAACTGGATGGACTCAGAGAGACCCCAGCATCGACTCTGCGACAGTCCCTCCCCCTTTTGGTTCATTCCTCAGTCTCTAGGGAACCAGGGCACCCGGGCCCAGGCTCAGTCCAGAGGGAGGTTTAGCCCTGGACAGGCAGCTCTGTTGGTTCCAGCATTGTCCCAATATATACCAAGGTGGCGGGTTCGGTCCCTGGTCAGGGCACCTACAAGAATTAACCAATGGCTGCATAAATAAGTGGAACAACCAATTGATGCTTCTCTCTCTAAAAATCCATAACTTTTTAAAAAATTTAAAGAGGGAAGATTAGCTTATAAGATGAAGATTGGTCTGCTCAACTGTGGCCCTCTCTCAGCCACACACCCCACCTCTTCCCCAACGGTTCCCGAACCTCAGAAAGGGCATTCTGGGTGTTCCGTTTACCAGCAGAGATGATAGCAACCATAGAAGTAGCAGCAGGTCAGGACACCCTAATATGAGACAAAGAATAAAGAGTGACTTTTGTTATTATGTCCCCCAGGACCCAAACCCTGATGAGCTGGCCACAGTACAGACATTTCCCTGTTCACCTGACAAGGAATCTGAAACAGTCCCGTTGTCTCAGAACCTACATGCCAAGGACTCGAAGGTGGTCTGTCGGAGTCTTAGAACTCGAGCAGCAGAATGGGCCAAACGGCCGACGACACAGCTTAAATTCCATAACATCAGTATTTGATAAGATTTATAAAAACAAAGGTCAACGATCAGAGCAAACCGCAAACCAGGCTCTGCGTCTGTAGGGCCGCCAGCTGGGAAGACCTCCAGAGGCAAGGCTCAAAGCTTAGCTTGCCACAGAGAAAGCAGGCTGGGACCATACAGCCGATTCTCCCGGTCTGCGGCTCCCAGGTCCCTGATGATACCGTCAGCACTCCAGCAGATCCTCTCTGTGGCTTACACAGCTTCAATCACCAAGACCCCCCCAAGCATGAGCTGTTGCGACAGTTTCTCCAAAGTTTACATCATGTCGTCTAGCTGCAGCCTGCAAGCATAAGGCTCGGGGAAAAAGCAGTTTTTGTTCTCAATAACTCCTAGGTTATTGAGAACAAAAGAAGGGTAGAAAAATGAAACGCCAGTTCAGTGGGTTGCAACCAGACACTTTCTCTGGAAAAATTCAGGATCCAATCCAGTCCACAGTGAACATAAAGCTTTAAGGATAATCTAAAATCAAGCCAGAACTCAAGTCTGTGACTCTACAGGGGTTCAGAATCTTAGACAGACTGAGTAACCTCAGCCAGCCTGAGATGGTAGATCTCCCCTACATCTTCTCTTAGGGGCGAACGGTGAAATAACGCAACCCCTGTAATGGCAACACAGGAGTTGACTTAGAAATGACTCTCTCCTCTACGAGAGAGATCAGTATCTGCTCCAGGTCAGTGTCTACTTCCCTTACCATGGTGTCCCTGGTGGTGAGCACAGGGAGTTCTTGCCTCAAAATAGGCCCTGCCTCAAAATAAATATTGTCTAATGGAATGAAATCAACTCAAATGTATTCATTGAAAAAAGAAAGCGTATCTCATTCATTGCTGTCAGGAATGCAGAATGCTACTGCCATTTTGGAAGACAATTTGGAAGTTTCTTACAAAGTGAAATATGATCTTACTGTAGGATCCAGCAGTCAGGTTTCTAGCTATTTAACCCAAATGAGCTCAAAATTCACGTCACCTGCACACGAACGTTTATAGCAGCTCCATTCGTAATTACCCAGAACTGAAAGCAACCAGATATCCTTCAAACAGTGAATGGATAAACAGACTGAGGCATATCCATACAACAGAGTAGCATTTAGCAATAAAAAGAAATTTGCTATCCAATCTTGAGACGTGGCGGAAACCTAAACACATATTGCTTAATGAAAGGAGGAAGTCTGAGAAGGCCACATACCGTCTGATTCCAACTATGTGACGTTATGGAAAAGGCGGAACTATGGAGACAGTGAAAAAGATGAGTGTTTGCCAGGAGCTCGGGAGGGGGCGGGTGGGGCGCAGAGGGTTTTGGGGCAGTGAAACCACTCTGCGCGGTGCTGTAATGGCAAATGTTACACATTCGTCGAAACCCACAGAATGCACAGCGCAAAGTGAACCCTAATGGGAACAGTGAACTTAATAGTAATGCATCGACATTTGCTCATTAACTATATAACAAATGCACCCACTAAGGCAAGATGTTAACCAGGGGATAAAGGTAAATGGGAACTCTGTACTGTGTGCTCAACTTTCAGTGAAACTGAATTTCTGAAACATAAAGTCTATTAATCAAAAGGGAGTAAATGGCCCTGGCTGATGTGGATCAGTGGATCGAGTGCGGGCTGCGAACCAAAGGGTCGCAGGTTTGATTCCCAGTCAGGGCATGTACCTGCCTGGGTTGTGGGCCAGGTCTCCAGTAGGGGGCGTGCGAGAGGCAACCACACACTGATGTTTCTCCCTCTCTCCCTCCCTTCCCCACTCTAAAAATAAAATCTTTTTTAAAAAGAGTAAATGAACGAACCTATAAAAGAATTGGATTAAATGATCTCCCAGGTCACTTCCAGCTTTGAATCACACTCAAGTTCTCAGCCAGAGTCCCCACGTATAAAACTAAACTGAGGTTTCAGTGTCGCGCTCAACCGGAGCGCCGGAGGGCGGCTCGAGTGGTCCAAGGGTCCAGGACAGCACCCGAACCGCTGCCTACCTGGACAACAGCGGGCGGTGAGCACCATCAACCTTTACGCACCGGCTTCCCCGCTTGCGGAACAGGACCCCGCCGGCTCTCGCGCGCTACCTCTCGGAACCTAGGGCACGCCCCCTCGCGCCATTGCCTCTGCAATTGGACGACTCGGGGGAGGTGTGGCCGGAAGGAGTGAGTCTGATTGGCGGGGCGGGGCCGATAGCGAGTGGCGAACATGGCGGAGCGCGGGAGGAAGCGGCCCTGCGGCCCGGTAGGTGGCTGGAGGTAGGACTCCTGGGGCAGAACAGGGGGTGATGGCCTGAGGACGAGCCTCGTGGGGGCCCGTGTCTGGGCCGGGCTGTGCCCCCCGCTCCCTGCTTGTCGCTGATGCGAGGCCGGAAGTCCTAAGGTGTAGCATGCGTGTGGCTGCGCGTGCCTCTGCCCGGAGGAGAACCAGAGGTGGGAGCCGGGGCCTGAGTCGGAGCCGGGATACCGTCAGGTGACCCATTGCCCAAACCCCTTGTGGGGGGCCTGGATTCAGGAGGAGGAACCCTCCTCGCAATCCCGAGCATTTTGGTGGCATATCTCTCCTAACTACTATCTGCGCTTCAGTGTCCTCTTCTCTCCAGTGGGAACTCATTCGGCAATTTATTGAGTGTTTACTATGTGCCATGCCTGGTCCCAGGCACTGGGGTACAGCAAGTCCCTGCCCTCCTGATGCTCTCTTGGGGCAGCATTGTGTGTGGATTCCCAGCAGCAAGTGGGGCCGCCTCTCAAATGGGACCATTCAGCCTCACTCCTATACCTCTTCCTATTCCTCTAGGGCGAACACCGTCAAAGGGTCGAGTGGCGAAAATGGAAGCAACAGAGTAAGTAAGGGGCTGGGGGTTATGGGGAGTGTCCATGCTCACCCTTCCCCAGGCCACCCGAGGCCACTGCAGCAGTGCACAATTAAACTTTGGGGACAGCCACCAGATTTGCCCCCTGTGGGTCTCACGGCACCAAGATGGAAGGAAGGGCTCAGAAACCACAGGAGGCTCCCAGGCCGGCCTGACCTGAGTGGGAACCCTGACCCCACTGAGAGGGCATTGTCTCCTGGACCTCGCCAAGACCCTCTCCCTCCAAGTCCCTCTCATCTCCACCACTTGGGGTGTCTTCTTGTCCAGAGAAAGAGGAGAAGAAGAAGTGGAAGGATCTTAAGATGACGAAAAAACTGGAGCGGCAGCGGGTGCAGGAGGAGGAAGCAAAGCGCCAGCAGGAGGAGGAGGAGGCCGCGGCGCAGAGGGAGGACCAGGGTGAGCAGACGGGGCCCCGGGCGGGCAGAGCACGTGGTGTCTGGAAGGAACCTTAGAGACCGGTGGGTCTAGACACCTTGTCTAGATGGAACAACCGAGGCCCAGAACACTGGGTCCTAACCTCCTGCTCAGGTGGGTTCAAGCCCGAGGATGGCAAGCATCCCGTATAACTTTACGCCTCCAGAACCTCGTCCTCGTAATGACAGTTAATTTTTTATTGAGCACTTTGTGTTTTAATTGCATTTTTCATTGAATTACTTTGAGTGCCTTTTTTTCTCATTAAATTATTCATGCTTCAAACAAAACCACCCAAATAATACAGAAAACCGTAACGGGGAAAGGAAAAAGCCAGCAAACACTGCAGTGAAGGTCTCTCCAGAGGCTATGTTATATATCCGCACTTAAATACATGTAGAGAGATGTAGGGACACAGTTTTTAAAAAGTGAGACCACTTTATCCGTGTGCTTCTGGACTTGGTTTTTCCCACCTCATGTTGTGTCCTGGATTCGTGCATGTGGACTATCCTAACAAACCAGCTTTTCCTCCGGTCAGACCTGAAGCGCTGGAGTGTCTGGCGGCCCTGTCATACCCTGTATGCCCAGTGGTTGCCAGTAATGATGGTGACAGTGGGGACAGCAACTGAGCATGTCGCTGTTTCAGGCACCAGGGAAGCCCTTTATGGGCGTTGTCTCATGTGGCTCCCTTTGGACGACTCAGAGAGGGGGTGTGGTTGTCCCTCTGGGGCCAGACATCCTGAGTCCACATCTCAGCTGTTCTGCCCTTGGTGTGACCTTGGGCCACGTGTTTGACCTCTGGGCTGCAGGTTCCCCACCTCTTGGTGATCGTAGTTTCCTAGGGTTATTGGGTAAATGTGCACATGTAAAAGACACTAATAATAGGTAATAGCTGTCATTATCACCCCCATCTGGACAGCTGGAGAACTGAGACAGTAAAGGGTGGAGGCAGGATGTAAACTGAGGCCAGTGCCTCTGACCACTCCCTGGTCTTGCCCAGTGGTCCGCCCTGCTCATGGGAGCCTTACAGAACAGAGTTCGTTTTCCTCTTGGGGAGATTGAGGCCCGGAGAGGGGAGTTGGATCTATTTCGGTAAACTCAAATGCTTCCCTGTAGGAAGATTCTCTGACCGTGGGCCTTGGGGACAGAGGAAGGAGGGGAGAGCATGGGCCTGGCCGCTCAGACTGACCGTGAACACCACCCCCTCTTGCCCAGGACGGCCCTACACTCTGAGCGTGGCCTTGCCTGGCTCCATTCTTGACAACGCGCAGTCGCCCGAGCTCCGCACCTACCTGGCCGGCCAGATTGCCAGAGCCTGTGCCATCTTCTGTGTGGACGAGATCGTGGTGTTTGATGAAGAGGGCCAAGACACCAAGTGAGGGGCCAGCCCGCGGGGTGCTGGGGATCAGGGAAAAAGGGAGGCCACCGGCATCGGCCTGAGCTTTCGTGGGCTGAGAACCCTGCCTGAGATGCCCCCCATGGTAACCCTGATGGGTGGAGTTGCAAAGCAGGGCCCACTCGCAGGTCAGATTGGGTGGATGAGCTCTGGAAGGGTACAGTAGGCCCCTGAGCCCTATCTTTCTCTCTCTAGGACTGTGGAAGGGGAATTCAGGGGAGTCGGCAAGAAGGGGCAGGCGTGCGTGCAGCTGGCCCGGATTCTGCAGTACCTCGAGTGTCCACAGTAAGGGGGTGAAGGGCAGACTTCCTGAGCGTGAGGGCGGGGAGGTCGAGGGGCTGGTCAGGCAGGAGGTGGCCTGGCTGGGAACTTCCTGAGAGCCGTGTCCTTTACTAGGTACCTAAGAAAGGCATTCTTTCCCAAGCACCAGGACCTACAGTTTGCAGGTAAGGCTTGCGGGGGGTCTGACCCCCATTTCCCATGGATCATCCCCAGACCCTGAGAAATTGCTCTGTGGTGGGGAAGACAGACCCAGGCACAGCAAGTCTGTAGCAGAGCTGGACTTTGGGCCAGGGTTCCCTGCCACAACCTCATGTGCTTTTGCACCGCCCAGACTCCTGGCCCCTCCCCCCCCACAGGGCTGCTGAACCCCTTGGACAGCCCACACCACGTGCGCCAGGACGAGGAGTCCGAGTTCCGAGAGGGCATGGTGGTGGACCGGCCCACCCGGCCGGGCCGCGGCTCCTTCGTGAACTGTGGCATGAAGAAGGTGGGAATCGGAGTGGGGGTCGAACCACGCTTCCTGGGAGCAGCCCGGCGATGGAGGGCAGGCGGGGCGCAGGCGTGGGGGGCCTGGGACCCAGGCACCTCTGCCCACCAGTGCCGCACTGATGCCCATCTGGGCCACAGAAGTGTTTACATCGGGGCTCAGTGGATAAAATCAGGAGCGAATTTACTTTTGTTTTTTTTTTTTAAAAAAAGCAAATCAACGGAAAATGGTCCTTGTACGAACAAGCAAAACAAAGCCCTGCAAACCCAAGTTCAGAGTCACTCTGGGGCCGCCCCAGCATGAGGCAGAGCGTTTGTTTGCTGCCTGTCTGCTCTCAGGTCTTGGAGTCAGAGCGGAGACATGTAAACATGTGGGGTCCCCTCCCCTCCAAAGAGCAGACCAGAAATAACTGGTTGAATGCAGACCAGGACCACCCAGAAACACATGAATGGAGAAAAGCATAAGAACCCCTCAAAAGAGAAAGGGCGCGCCCCATCCCGAGTTCAGAATCGGCACCGCAGACACCGCTGGGGATCCATTGCCACCCCCACGCAGTCAGCATCCACTTCCCACCAGGCCCTGCGCAGCGTAACAACAGCTGTTGTCCATGGCACGTTTTCCTTTCACAGATGAGGAAACGGAGGCTCATAGAGCCTGAGAGGTCACTCCAGCTAGCAAGTGGCGCAGCCACCAAAATGTAGAAAATTGGATTTTGTCTATTCTTGACATTTACTTCCAGCTCTGCTAGGCCCAGAGCATTCATTTTTGACCAGTGTCTTGGGACAGTCACTTTGCAGGAATGTTGTCTTGGGAGCAGGTCTGGCCCAGGTGTGGGGGCAAAGGTTGATCTGCCTGGACCCCTTAAATCCCTTGCCAGCCACAGTTTCCCCCACGACTGGGAGAGTAGTGACCTCTGCTGGTCGTGTGGGGGACGGCACCCACTTCTGGCTTCTCCTTAGGAGGTGCAGATTGACAAGAACTTGGAACCTGGTCTTCGGGTGACTGTGCGACTGACCCAGAAGCAGCTCCCAGGTATCTGAGGGCTCGGAGCCTACTCCTTGCACCTCCTCGTCCCCTCACCCCGTCTTCACAGCCTCTCTCCTCCCCCTCCAGAAAGCAAGACCTACCGTGGAAAAGTCGTGTCGTCTCAGGACCCCCGCACCAAAGCTGGTCTCTACTGGGGCTACACAGTTCGCCTGGCCTCCTGCCTTAGTAAGGACAGAGCTTCTTCCCCTGAACCCCCTTCCTCCCATGTGGCAGGCCGCAGAGAGCCTTGCTGGCCCCGAAAGTCCTTGTCCTGCCAGCTGGCTCTGTGTCCTTGGGCAGCTGCCTTTCCTGCTCCGGGCCGTGGTCTCCCTGAGCCCTGGGCCTGGATGCCCTTAAAGGCTTCCCAGGGAAAGTATTGTTTCACGATCGATTAGCAACATCTGCTGTGGGGTTGTGACTGGGGGCAAAAGGGCCGGGTAAGTCAGAGGTACAGTGTATGTTCTGGAAGTTCCTTCCTACCTGCCCATCCTCTGCCTGGTGTCCCCAGTCTAGCACACGTGTGGCCTCTCCCTGATCAGGGCCCACTTCTGCAGGAACGGAGGAGGGCCTGGGGGGGCTCCCTTCCCGAGCCCTCTTCTGCCCCACGCCCCGCCCCACGCAGTATGCACACGCACAGCCAAGCAGCTGGGGCTTGTGGGAACCCCACAATAGCTGGCATCACCCCCAGGCGCGGTGTTCGCTGAGGCCCCCTTCCAGGACGGGTATGACCTGACGATCGGGACATCAGAGCGAGGCTCGGACGTGGCCTCCGCCCAGCTTCCCAGCTTCAGGTGGGTGCAGCCTGGGGCAGGGGCCCGGGCAGGGGCGGGGAGCAGAGCAGAGGGCCAGTCTGGTGGGGGCAGACCTGGAGACCGGCCCCCGCTGTGTGAGGAGGGCTGCTCTCAGTGTGGCCTGGATGAGCAGCCAGCGGTTACCCCCCCACACCCACGGGTGGCAGGCACGCTCTCGTGGTGTTCGGGGGCCTCCAGGGGCTGGAAGCTGGAGTGGATGCTGACCCCAACCTGGAGGTGGCTGAGCCCAGTGTCCTCTTCGATCTGTATTTGAACACCTGCCCCGGCCAGGGCAGCCGCACCATCCGCACAGAGGTGAGCCAGCCCGCCTTCCCCGCCTCCGGCCCCAGGCCGTTCTCAAGGTTCAGCCGCCAGCCAGGACCTTGGGGTCTATCCAAGGGGGGTTGCTACTCTCCCTGCGGCCCGCCCTGCCCGAGGCTGCCCTGAGCCAGCCTTCCCCGGAGATGGTCCCCTCACCCCTTGGCCTCTCTCACCGCAGACTTGTGGCGGGGACAGGGTACAAGTGAGCTGGGAGTCAAGATTCCTGGGTCCTGGTGCCCATCCAGTGGTTCCCAAGCTGGGCGACCCAGGAGACTCCCCCGCCCCTGCTCTGGGCCTCCATGTCTTTTGCTGTATGGTCAGTGTTCCACTTTCCCGGGTGTGACCGTGGTGGACAGGGCAGCCTCCCCTGGGGGCACAGGATGCAGCTAGCGGAGAGCCACAGCCCTGCGCACAGAACCTGCGGCCCTGCTTCTGAGCTGAGCACACATCGCTGTGCCTGTGGAGTCTGTGCTGGGGACCCGTCTCCAAGTATGGTGACTAAACAGGTGGCCTGCTTCAGTCTGCTTGTCCCCAAGGGCCCTGCTGGGGCCAGGTGCTGCAAGGCTGCTAGCTACACCCTCCCAGCAGAAACCCCAGCTCCCACCCTTCCGATACCTATAGCAAGTGCTGAGAACTTCCTGACCCCGAACCCAACAGTAGGAGACAGATAATACCATGATCACCCCCATTTTACAGAGGGGGAGATTGAGGAGCTGGGAGGTGAGGCCGTTCCATGGCAGGGCATTCTGCCAGCCGGTGGCAGATCGGCAGGGTGACACTGGGCCTATCCTTGACCCCAGGGCCCTGCTGAGGGCAGCAGGCCCCAGCCCATTGCTGCCCTTTCCTTCCAGGAAGCCATCCTCATCTCCCTGGCTGCCCTGCAGCCGGGCCTCACCCAGGCAGGCGCCCAGCACAGCTGAAGGTTCTGCCAGGCACGAGATGGAGAGAAGCCGTGGGGAAGCCAAGGGTTCCTGAGGGTCACCCGGGGCAGGCACAGGCAAGACTTTCTCCAAAAATAACCACCTTTAATGTGACCCGGCCCCACACCCTCACAGTCTGGCTGGGCTGCTGCCCTCACCTGCTGCCCGCGGTGACAGCCTTCAGGCTGCCGGCCCGCGCCAGGATATTCGGCACAAAGAGCAGCCCCGAGGCCCGCTCGACGCTCTCGATGGGCACCAGGAAGCGCTCCAGCGGGACGGCCTCGTCCACGGGCGCATTGGGCATCACGTAGGAGCGGAGTTCGATTTGCCCGCCTGCTGCCTCCAGGATCAACACTTTGAAGAAGTGGGTGGGCACTGCCACGTGGTTCTTGCCAATCACCTGGTACTTCACGTAGGACTTCCCGTCAGCCTCTGTCCTGCAGGCAAATAAATCCAGGCACACCTGGCCTTTCAGGGCTCCCACGGCTGCTGCCGCCTCCAGGAAGCATTCCTTGACCCGACCCCCAGCTTGTGTCAGTCTGTAGGAACAGCCCCTCGTGAAGCTTCCGCGCCCTCCTTGGCTGCCCCAGCAGACTGGGAGCTCCCTGCAAGGCGCACTCCCTCTGGCCCTGTTGTCCTCGTGCCCAGCCCTGGGTCAGCAGAGCGAGTGCTGGTGACAATAAATGCTGCTGAGAGGATCCTGCCTTCTCAGCATCCACATTCATCCGTGCAGACAGACACCTGACGACTGCCTGTCTCTCCCCGAGGAGGGTCAGCACCAGGGGGGCCGGGTGAACAGCAGGTGCCCAGGACACTGCCCTGTGGGGTGACCTCCGGGCTGCCCCTCAGCAGGGTGTACTCCACTAAAGCAGGCCTTGGGAGGCACTTGCTCACTCAAGTTTATCAGTGTCTCGGCCAGCCCATGCTGAGCCATAATATGGTGACATTCACCATCCTACTTTGCCACTCAACAACCATGAGCTAGGTAAGAGGCACCATGTGTGGAGGTCATTTGCCCACGGCACCCAGAGACTAGGTAGTAGGGCCGGCTCCCTCCCAGCCGTGGACTCCAGGGCCAGCTGCTTCACCGCAACCTGTCCTCGCTCATCCAGTCCTCGGTGGGCCAGGAAAGTCACCGAGCTGCCCCGAGGGCGCTCCGTCCCTCGTGCCTGAGAGTGAACTCGGGGTCAGGAGCAGGGTGCAGAAGGGTTGCTCCAGAGGAGATGACGGGCAGGACGTGGGTGGGTGGGTAGGTGTGGCAAGAGGTGATGTAGGAGAGGAACAAGGGCAGGTGCAGGACCTGGTGCCCGTGGGCAAAGGAGAGTGGTCTAGATGGGTGCCCTGAAGGTCTCTGGCTGCAGAAACAAACTCAGGAGTCTGAGGCAGGGGGTGGACAGGGTCGTTAAGAAGCCAGATGACTACACCTGGCAGTGTTTGCCCAGAGCCCAGGACAAGCCTGGACAGCACGAGTGGGAAACGCTGGTGTGCCCAGTTCTGACCTCACCTGGGCAGGAAGAGCGGCCCTGTGCAGACATAGACGTTTTGGTAGGTGCGGGTCAAGCTCCGGCTGTACTTCTCCAGGTTGTTCCAGGCATTCTGGTTAAGGTGCGGCACCTGGTAGGAGACGGGACTCAGAGGTGCTGGTGGGGAACTTTGCCTCTCTGTTAGAGGGGCTACCCAGGGCTCCAAGACTTGAGATTCCAGCAGGGTTGGGGAGACGAGCACACAGTAGAAACTGGTTCAAGGAATGGAAGTCATTCCTTTAGGCCATTGGCTGTTAAGGGTGGAGCTCAAGAGGGTGCCAGCCACCAACCACTCCCTGCCACAGAATGGAAGGAGTAGCATCCCCGATCTGAAAGCCCTTTCTTGGCTCTACAGAGCCACACTGAGGAAAGCCAGCTCTCCCAATCTGCCCTTTGCCCTTTCACCATGTGCCAAGCCCAGCTGGGACCGTGATGGATTTGCTGCCAATTCCATACTCGAGGGCCCCAATCCTCCGTACGATGTCTAGTCAAACAGGGAGGGGACTGACTGTACCTCTGGGAGAGCAGAAGTCAGGCCAGAGGCACAGACCCCATGGGGTTCACCCTGGGCCCCCCCCATCAGTCTTCATCCAGTGGGTGCCAGACCCTTGTGGGACCAGGACCAGAGGTAGGCCAGCTTGCTAACAGTTGATTGCCAGCAGGTATCTTCCCATACTATCCTGGGAAGCAGGTGGGGTAGGACAATGGCTGAAAGCTCAGGGTCCTCTAGACAGGCTGCCGGAGTCTCCCTGAAGGTGTGACACTGGGCCAGTGTGTCACTTCGCCTCTGAACCTCAGTTCCCTCATTGGATCTAATATTTACCGAATGCTTGTCATGAGCCAGCAAGGGCACTCTGTACTATTACATGCATCGGGTCTACTGTAAAATGTACGTGAGTAACATTAATATCCCCATTTCACAAACGAGGAAACGTCGCCCAGGGGTCCTCAGGGTCAGATTGCACAGCGGGGACCCAGAGCTCCATTCCTCCAGCCTAGGGCGGCGCGGGGTGTCATCAGTAAGCACCTGACCAGCTCGCGCACTGGCCTGCCTCCCCATTCAGCAGAGGAGCAAACCGAGGCTCCGAAAGGCGAGGGGCTGGCCTCGCCTTCCGCCGCCCAGCCGGGGGCGCTACCTGGGGCGCAACGTTGCTCAGGTAGAAGGTGTCGTCCATGGCTTTCTGGCTCCAGCGGTGGTTGGCGGCGGCGGCCAAGTGGCCGCGGTCGAAGCCGCTGCCGCGGTAGTCGGCGTTGGTGGCGCGGTGGTACACGTGCACCGACTCATCCTCGCGGAAGTCGCAGGAGCGGCGGTCCCCATCGCCGCGAAGCCGCTCGGGCCGCAGCTGTTCCACCACCCAGAGCGCGCCGCGAGTGCGCGGGTCGTAGCACAGCACGTACGACTCGCGGCTCTTGAGCTGCGCCAGCCCGGGCAGACCGTACTTAGCCAGTTCGCCCGGGCCACCGCTCGCCAAGGCCCCAGGTACGGCAGGCACGGCGGGCACCTCGGCAGCCGCCGCCACAGGCAGAACGGGTAGCCGGCCCAGCAGCCCCGGGGCCGGCTGCGCATCTGCCCGCCGTCGCCGCCAGCCCTCGGCAGCTGCGCCCAGCCCCGCGCCCAGCGCCAGGGTCAGGCCAGCCCGCACAGCCTGCATGGCTCGGGAGCGCGACATCCACGCAAACGGAAGGCGACCCGCGGCACCGAGGGAATGCTGCGACCTCCGACGTCTGACCGGCGAGGTTCTTAAAGGGGCTGCACCAGCCTGCTGGGCCCACCGCAGGAGTAGGTGCTGGCTGGAAGGGCGCGTGGGCACAACATAAATCCCTTCCACTCACAATGGCTGGGAAGGGACTAGGCCTCTAACGAAGGCGGCCCCGGACCCACCGGAAATGGGTGCCCTTTCTTTGTCCTTTAAGATGCGGGCCCAAGGGGCGAAGCGCTAGCATTTTGGTTTGTGATTGGCTGCCGCCAGGCCTAGTCCCACCCCGCCCCACCCCCTTTCGGGTCTCCGCCGTCTGGCTCTCTACTGCGCCTGCGTAGAGCTCCCACTTAGGAGCACTAAGCGTCTTTGGTCCAGTGCTTCCATCACTACCTTATTTAATCCTTAAGAACCCAGCGAAGGAGCTCTTCGTTGGCGGAACAAGACACCGGAGACTATCCTCCCCAACCATTACACAATAAGCCAAAAGTTCCAGGAGATTAGCCAAGATTTTCCTAACACCCAGAGTGAGAACAAGGGGGCAGGCAGCAGATCCTAACTGCTGGTTGGAACAGACACTGGCACTGTTCCGTTTGGCAGTCCTATAAAACCTTAGAAAGGTTTATCTTTAAACCCACTTAGAGGACTGAGCTGGGGAAATAAATTGGGAATGCAAGTATTTCTTTTTCTTTTTTTGGGGGGGGGGAATTCAAGTATTTCAAACAGAAACTTCCTCACAGTATTGTAATAAATATTCAGAAATAGCCTGGCTGGTGTGGCTCAGTGGATTGAGTGACAGCCTGCCAGCCGAAAGGTTGCTGGTTCAGTTCCCAGGGCACATGCACGGGTGGCGGGCCAGATGCAGGGTTGGGGGCATGTAAGGCAACCCATCCATGTATCTCTAAGCACATCAATGTTTCGCTCCCTCTTTCTCCCTCCCTTCTCCTTTATAAATAAAATCTTTAATAGACTCATTTCCAACATTGTCAGCATATTAGATAGAATAGTATATATCCTATAAACATTTTTAAAGTCATACAGCAACTTGCTCCCCACCTACCATGAGGGGTGTGACAATACTCAAAACTGTGTATCAAGATGACAATTACGCATTTCCAGGGATTCTGGGCAAGGAATGCACCGTCCACAGTGGACCCTAAAACGCAGAGGTACCATCTTTAAGGTTCATAAATTGTCCAGCTGTAACTTCGTTTGAATAGCAGACCTGACTTCAGGTATTTGAGGTAAAAAAAAAAACCTACAATGCTTTTAAAAAATTAAGTTAATAAAAGCATTCATTCGAAAAAAATAAACAATTATGTAATGAAAATCATATCTGCAAAGACTAACGTTTTACTGGTGATTTTCTCAGGTTTGTGGAGGATGAATGCCTTGATTTACATGTCTTTGAATTTTCAGTTTTTCAATCTAAAAACCACCTGCCAAGAAACCATGATGTAACACTTTTTCCCAAGGCCGCACCCCCTCCTCCCCCCAGCTGCAGACAGCATGGCTGAAAGAGAAGAGTCAGACGCGTTCTCCCACCGAGAACAGCCGGGCCTTTTCTCAGACAGCACTGAGAGCCTCCCGACTCCATCCCTGCTCAAGCTTGTTTCCCTGGTCTGAGGCCTCCAAGGTTTCAGCCCATCACAGCACCAATGCCCACTGTAGAGAACACATTATTTATTAAAGACAACTTGTCATCAACAGCATTGACTCAAGAAACAAAACCGATTTAAAAAACGAAACAAAAACAAGGGCAGACTAACACTTGGACCCTCTGGAGTGAGGCCCGCTGAGCTCACACAGCCCGATCTGTGAGTGTTCAAATGTCTGGGGGCTGATGCTGCCCAAGCAGGAAGCGTGGGCGCTCTGGCCTTCTGGGAACCTCCTGAGAGTTTGGGGAGGGGGAATCACCAAGGGCAGGTCCTTTCCTCAGCCAAACCCGGACACGGTCCCTGTGCTCTTGACCCAAAGTCAAGGAGAGGGCACCGGTCTCAGGCCTGCCACTGAGACGAATTAGATGCAGTGATTCAAGTAGTATGGCCCCAGAAGGGAAGGCAAGGGGACAGGCGCGAGGGAATGCATCAGGTGTCCTGGGCAGTGTCTGCTGGGTCCCAGGCTGTGGCCCAAGCCTCCAACTGTGAAGAGGTCAAAGCTGGAACTGAACAACCGGCTGATGAGCTCTGGGAAGGCGGCCCGGGCTGGCGGGAAGCAGTGTGCCCCGCCCCAGGCAGGGTCTCGGAGCCTCCCTTATACTCAGTTCCAGTACAGAGCTCAGAGCACTCCCAGCCAGGATGTGCTGGAGAACCAGGAGGGTTCCAGAGGCAGGGGGAGAGGATGCTGAGTCTGACCTCGGAAAATCAGGAAGCCCCATGCTTCCAAATCCTTTTGACCTTCCCAGCCCCCACCCTCATCCCCAGACCAAGCACTTGACAATCCGCAATAAATAACCTGGAGTCTGAATAAATAGCAAAGTCTCCCAAAAACTGTTATGAGAGGAGGTGGCAAAAAGGCAAGTGCAGAGAAGTCCCAGCAGCATCCAAGGGACAGCCTGGTAGAGGAGCCGTCTAGGGGGAGCTGTTCGGCCTGGCCCACAGCCTGGCTCCTGCAGGCAGCGGAAGTCCTGGCTGCCGACTCAGGAAGGCTTCAGGGGCAAGCGGGCACCTGCCAGCCGGTCTGAGGAGAGGATGAAGACCCTTGCTACATTACCCAGCCATCCAGACCCGAACTCCCTGCCTCCTTACAAAAGGAGGGCGGGACTTCACCAAACTAAGCCGCTCCTCCCACTGCCCAGCAGAGGGAGTCGCCAACAGCTGCTGCTCTACGTGCTCCTGCCCCGAATCCGGGAACAGCCCAAGCAGGTGACCAGAGAAGGGCCAGCACCTCCTTCGGCCCCTCTGGGAGCCGCGCAGCTGCCTCGGCCCCGACGGGATCCAGGGCCTCTGAGCTCAGCCCTGCCTGGCCTGGCGAGGCTCCCTTTGGTCCCACTTGTCCTTCAGGGGCTCACCCTCCCTGGGGCGGGCTCTGGGAGCCACGGGAATGGCTGTTCTGAAGCACTTGGACTCCAAACCCTGGTACGGCATCCCCTGGATGTCCTGTTCCTTTGGGGAAATCCCGGGAAGGTCAGCCCTCCTCCCTCCTCCATCCTGGGCAGAAAGGAGGGGAAGAGGCTCAAAGCTTCACGGGCCACCTTTTCTCAGCAGATTTTTGGATTCCAAGATTTCCGTCGGGGGGAGCAGGGCCAGGGCCAGGGCCAGGGCCCTCCAGAGAGGCCCTGCGGACTCCCTCCCAGCCTCAGGGGCCTGGGAGCCTGGGGCCGGGTGTGGGAACAGGGCACCAAGGCCACAGTTGACTTCCAGGGGCTTCGCTGAGCCCGACTCCTCGTCCCGTCTCTGGGTGTCACGGACACGGAAGGGAGGAGCGAGGGGAAGAGGCTGGGGATAAGGCACCCCGAGAGAGGGGGGCAGAGGGAGAGCCGGGCCAGGAACAGACACAGAGACTCACGGAGCCTCCGTGAGGGCGGTGGAGGAAGAAGGGGGGGAGGCACGCACAGAGACAGAGGAGGAGAAGCGGAGACCTAGAGGGGTTCAGGCGCCCTGCCTCCCTCACACCCACACGGACACGGACACACACACACACACACCTGGAGGATGAAGAGACGCACACACACACCAACCCACAACTACAGACACACACACACACACTCACTCTGAGAGAGAGGGACAGAGGGTGTGACCTGGGCCTGGCAGCTCCTTAGCTCCCTCACAGTGTCACTGTCCCCATGGCGAACCCTAAGCACCAACCCCCAGAAGAAGTGGTTTCTGGCTCACTGGCTGAGCACCTCCTCCCAAGGCCAGAGCAGGACAGGGAGCAGCGGAGCGGAGGCCGGGGGGGGACCTATGGCAGCCCCCAATGCCCCCAATCCGCCCCAGCTCCGGGCAACAGCTTCGGGAGCTCCAGCCGTGCTCAACAGCCTGGGGAAAGGGTCCCAGGGTCTACGAGCGGAGAGCGAGCCAGGGCTCGGTGGTCAGGAAGGGGCACGGCACAGTGTGGCCCCGGTGGGAGCGGCCTAGGGGGACACAGCCAGGTGAGGAGGCCTGGAGCGGGCCAGTCCCGTGGCTTTCCCTCGGGGTGGGGGGGTCCCACAGGCTTCTTCGTGTCCCGGAAGCCAGGGCACAGGGACCTTCTCTCCCAAACCTGGGCCTCTCGCTGTCGGGCTACTTGGAGTCTTGGAGCTCCTTGGCCTTCTGTAGGATCTGGCAGACGTCTGTGATGGGGTAATCCTGGGCACGGGAAAGGCCAACAGGATGCCTCTGAAGTCAGCTCACCCTCTGCCACCTCTGCCACACCCGTGCCCTCCCCGCACTGGGACCTGTCGCCAGGCTGGCCCACAGGTTATCAGCACCCCCATGCTGCCCTAACCCCCACCCCACATGCAGCACGAACATAACCAGCCCAACCAGCGCCGCCCACAGGGTCTCAGAGCCCTCCCCTAGGACCAGGCCCCTGCTGCCTCGCCTCTCCCCATCTGGCGCGGGGCCCAGGACCACACAGTGGCTCCCTGGGGTGCCTGAGAAGCTCAATGAGGCTGTTGTGATGATGCCTATCTTACAGATCTACTCAGTGAAGCTACTGAAAACCGGCCCCAGGCCAGGTGTGGGTGAAAACACTGGGGCCCAGGGACCTTGTCACTTGGCTCAGGCCCCACGGCCAGCACAGCAGAACGAGGGTGTGACCCTGGTGCTGCCTGACCCTGGAGCCGCGTTCTCCACCACCAGCCCGGTGCTCCGCCGCTCCAGGTCTGAGCGTGACTCCCAACGAGCACTGCCACCTACTGGGCGCAGTTGTGTCCCAGTGTGGCTAACTTGGGTACAACACTCGGTTCAGAGAGGCCAAGCAAGCCCTCTGCTCACGGCCACACCACACCCAAGGTCGGTGGCAAAGCGGGGATTCAACCCCATCCAAACCCAGGTCTGCCTCAGGGGACTAGAACTCTTAAACCCTGCTGCACTGCACTGGTCCTGCCCCAGCCTGTCACAGCGGCTGGCACGGGGTGGCCACTGGATAAGTGTCTGCCTTCCGGCCGAGACTGAGCGTGCCGCTCCGAACACCAGTACCTGGAGGAGCCGCATGTTCACAGTGAAGTCCCCTTCCAGCAGCTGCTCCCGGATCAGCCTGAGGAAAACAAGCAGGAGCGAGGCGCTGGGACCACGCTGGACCGCCCCGAGCGCGCAGGCCCAGCCGGGCCCCTTCCTCACCCGCCCCCCCACCCGTCCCCCCAAGTTCGTCGGTCTGACACTGGCCAGGGGCCCCTGGGCTGCCCGCCCCAGGCCACACTCACATGAGCATGGCGCAGCAGACGAGGAGGAGGAAGTCGAAGCGGTTGTCATCCGCGAAGAGGGAGTCCCAGATGCGGATGACGTCAGGCAGCAGGAACTCCTGGGACAGCAGCAGCGTCAGCCAGCGGAAGGCGAAGAACTGGGGCTTGATGTTCTGCTCTTGCTGGGGAGAGAGGGGCGCGGGGTAGGTGCGCAGTGCGTGCGGGCTGGGCGCCCCGAGGCACCACGCAGTCCTTAGGGGCGGGCTCAGACAAGCAGCGGGGCCCAGGACCCAAGCGAGGAGGACACGACGGGCCGGGGTGAGCGCCAGGCACACTCTTGTCTGAAATAAACATGGAATACCGCTACGGTAACTTTCAAAAATTACTCTGAACTCAGCCCTGGCCGCGCTCAGCTGGCTAGAGCACAGCCCCATACGCCAAGGTGGTGGGTTCGATCCAGTCAGGGCACACAGAAGCATCAACCAACGAACGCATACGTAGGACCACAAATCGATGTTTCTCCCTCTCCCCCTTCTCTCCCTAAAATCAATTTTTTAAAAAATTATTCTTAACTTTTAAAAGCAAAGTTTATCCTTCTCTTCTCAGAGGACAAACAGGCTGAACTCAGGAAGCGCTTGGTACACACCGGGCCCTGCGCCTGGCACACGCCGGGCACCGTGTCACGCCCATCCGCCGCCGGCCCGCCTGGACTCCCGGCACCTGCCGCCCGGTCTCTCAGCGGGGGGTCGGCACTCCCCGAGCAGCAGCAGCCACTTCCCGTCCCGGGCTCGAACCAGAGCTCGCCCTGGACCTGGGACACTCAGCAGGTCTGCCGTCCTCGGCCCCTTTCCTTCTGTCTGCCCCGGCCCCGTGGGCCTGGGGGTCCTCACCAGCTTCAGGTAGAGTTCCACGTCCTTATCCTTCAAGGTGGAGTACACCTTCTCCATCTTGTAGGTGATGCCGCACTGCGAGTCGTCCAGGCTCTTGATGAAGTTGTCCCGGATCTCGGCCATGAGGTTGGTGAAGCAGAAGAAGGTGTCTGCCTCGGCGTGCTCTGCACGGGACGGGCGGGGTGAGGGCAGCCGAGGCGCCCCCCGAACCTCCCCTGCGAGAGCCTCCCTGCAGCTCGGGGTCTCACCCTATCACCGCCTGCCTGCCGCGGGCGGGCTCTGCACCTTCTCTGTCCGTGACCTCTGCCCCCGCCCCCAGACTAAGGACGTCACTTCCTTCCTCTCACACCTTCTGGCAGCGCTGCGCCCTCCTCCTCAACTCCCTGCATGCCCTTTGAGGGCATTTTTCAAATCGTTATTTAAATTCTTTCTCCCATTCAGCTTTCTGTATACGCATCTCATCTCCTCCGTCAGAGATCCAGTTAAAACATCCAGAGCTCGGTCAGCGTCCAACAGGCTAGAAAGTCCGAGCCAGACTGGGTCTCCGGGAGGATGGAGGCCAACGCCCTTGTCCGGCGGCGGGGGAATGGAGGCCCAGAGACGGGGTGTGGGCTGCACAGCCCGGCTTCCCCTGGTCCACTTCTCTAGGGAGCCGGCAGCGGGAGACGCGGGCAGCCAGGAGCCCTCGTACCTTTCCACTCGTTGTTGGGGTCAGTGGCGAAGGTGTAGTAGAGGGGCCCCACGATCTCGTTCATGCCCTGCACGTAAGCGATGCCCGGGTTGAGCTTGGCGTAGATGAACAGGATCCGCTCCACCACCTCCCAGTGGGCCTCACAGCCGTTGGGCAGCACCTGGTACTCATTCAGGGACGCCGGCGCCGAGGTCTTGTGTGGGGAGCTCATCTGGGGGAGGACGGGGGGGGCCCGTGAGGACGATGGGTGGCGCGATGAACAGTATGTTCGCACCAGCAACGTCTACCGTGAAGCCTCAACCCTGACTTTCAGTTTAGGGGAAGTGCGGGGTGTGGAGGCACGTGGCCAACACCAGCAGGAGGAAACAGGCCAGCAAACCCAGGATGTGGGACACGCCACCGAACAGCTGGACTGACACCTCATTCACTCACGTGACAAGAGAAAGAACAGGGCTTCCCTCTGCGGAGACGGGCACTGCCTGGGCGGGGAGCTTTCTGGATGACAGAAGGCTTGTGTGTCTCGTTCTGGTTGGCATTTACCCAGGTACACACATAAGGGAAAGTTCATCTAGTGTACACGTAAGATTATGCATTTTACTAGGTTACGCTGTACTTCATTTGGGTCAACAAAATTTAACCATGTCACAGACAGACAACTGGCTCAGTGTCTTAGAAAAGTGCAATGCTATGGGGGCTACTATGGGGGCTGCAGATGAGGGGAGGCCTGCTCCCCATGAAGGGACAAAAGAAACACAACACCCCAACGCAACACATAAACCTGGACAGGTCCTGGGTCTGGAAGGAACAACTCAAAAATATTCTTAGCGCAGCTGCCCTGGCTGGTATGGCTCTGTGAATTGAGTGCCAGCCTGAGGACCAAAAGGTCACTGGTTCTTAGGTCGCCGGTTCGATTCCCAGTCAGGGCACATGCCTGGGTTGTGGGCCAGGTCCCCAGTTAGGGGTGTGCCAGAGGCAACCAGCAACCGATCGATGTATCTCTCACACATTGATGTTTCTCTCCCTCCCTTCCCCTCTCTCTAAAAGTAAATAAAAATATATTCTTAGCACGACTGAGGACACGCAATCATGGATTGGATGTCAGATATTATTATGCAATTATCGTTAATTTCCTAGAGGTGTTGGTGGTAAGGAAGAGAGATGCCTGAGAGTTACTCTCATGAGACGCCTGTGGAAGTACTGGGGGTGAAGGGTCAGAACACCTGCAACCCGCATTCCGAGAGTGATACACAAACAAATACGGGAAAAGGTTCACCACTTAAACTTAAGTGGAAAGTATATGGTTGTGCACTGTACTCTCAACTTTTCTGAATGTTTCAAAGTTTTCATACGAAAAAGCTGGGCGATAAACAGAGATGATAATCCCTGCTCAGAACCTGTGCAACAGAACACAGGCTCCCACCACCGTCTGCCCAGCAGGACCCTCGGGAACTTTGTAAAGACAGGGGTGCCGGGGGTGACCTGTCTGGGCGAACCCCAAGCAAGCCCAGGCAGGGACGGTGTGGGAAACAGCCCCGGACGTGCAGGGCCCGGGGACATTCAACTCCCTTTCCCATTATACACACGTGTGCGTGCACACACCTGCACACACCTGTGCACAGACACTCGTACCACTAACATCTACCCAGAACAATATGTCCAAGACAGTGCTCTGCACGCATGCCTCCATGTAATGCTTTAATAGCCTAGAATGTTCTCTCAACATCGCTTTCAAGATGAAGAAACTAGCCCTGGTTGGCGTAGCTCAGTGGATTGAGCGCGGGCTGTGAACCAAAGCATCACAGGTTCAATCCCCAGTCAGGGCACAGGCCTGGGTTGCAGGCCAGGTCCACAGTGGGGGCCACATGAGGGGCAACCACACATTGATGTTTCTCTCTCTTTCTCCCTCCCTTACTGTCTCTAAAAATAAATGTAAAAATATTTTTTAAAAAAAGATGAGGAAACTGAGGCTCAGAAAAGTTAGGTCACCCATCAGGTCTCGCATCAAGCGGCAGCACTGGGACTTGACCCCAGACCGGCTGACCCTGGAGCCTGAGGCCCAGGCCCCAGGGAGCGCCCACGACCTGCCAGCCTTCCAACGGTCTGCGCAGCCTCGAACTCATGACCTCATCTCACCTTCCTGGCAAATCTAAAGGCAGGCAGGGCAGAAACGGCTACGCCCCGTTTACAGAAGAGCCGAGGGAGGCCTAGGAAGGTAAGGCTTCTCCGGTGTCACCTGCCCGGAGTCAGACAGAGGGTCGGCCTTAACTCAAACCGCCCCACCACGGTCCAGAAGTCTGGCCGAGAAGCTTCTGGTCACGTGCTCTGCCCCCAGGACAAGGCCCAAACCTCAAACAGGCAAGAGCTCAGCTCTCGGTCCCCAGCAACTTGAGTGCAGTGAAGGACAGGAGCCAGGTCCCGCAGCCGGGAAGGACAGCAGCGGCCGAGTAAGAGGATTGCCCACACAGCAGGCCCCGAGGCCGTTTGGCCTCCGGCACGCCGCACCTCCCGGCACGCCCAGCTCTCTCGGAGGCAGGCGGGGCCCGGGCCTGGCTGGGACTGCCCGCCAACCTCGAGGCGGGAAGTGGCTGCTCTCCTACAGACACGAAGCCCCAAGGGGTCACCCCTCTTATCCGTCTCCAGCTCTGTGCAGGTTACGGAGAAGGGCTGTTCCGTTGCTGGAGGACAGCAGAACGTTTTCAGGCAGTCCAAGCTCCAGGTACCAAGGCAGTGGGCATGAGTTAAGTGATAAGGTCAGATACTTGTTTGGCTACAGTCACAGGAACCTGTGGAAGACTGGGGTTCAAACACTCAGCGTGACCCAGCCAGCTCAAGCCCTACCCATCCTACCTCCTAAGACTCTGAGATCTACCCCTGCCCCGCCCGCCCCACCCCTATTCCTGCCCCTTCCGATCAATACCCCCACAGCGCCAACGGCGGTCTTTTACTAGAGCACGTCCGACTCGCCTCACTGCCCTGCTTAGAGGGCTGCCAGGGCCCCCAGTCGTCGGGATGGAGGCCCCGTGTGGCCTCACCACCGCCCACCTCCCCGGTGGCATCTTCCAGCAACCCTGCCCCCTTCCCTCTGCCTCGAGCCCCACTGGGTCCTCCCGCCTGGGAACACACCGCCTCTCTCCTGCCCGAGGACCTCCCCACGTGCTCTCCTCCCCGCCCGGAACGGTGTGTCCTCCTAGCTCTTCGGGCTTCAGCTTAAATGTCACTTCCCCAGGGAAGCCTTCCCTGATAGCCAGGCCAGGTCAGCTCCCCACCCATCGGCGCTCCCGTCACACCTGTCCCTGCTTTTTGAAAGAGCCACTGCCAGCCCCGCGGCGGCAGCAACGCAGCCCCTTCCCTGCACAGCAGGCCCCCCACCCAAGCGGCCCTCACACCCAGCCCCCGCCCGGACCCCGGACCCCTGACTCTCCCACGGCGCCCGGGCAGAATCGAAGCTGCCTTGGGTGCCCATCGGCACAGACGGTCACGGGCCCAGGGGACAGTGGCCAAGGGAAGGAGAAGGCTGTCATGAGGGGTCCCTGGGGCCCCAGGGTGCCTCTCACATTTGTGACCCCGCTCCGGTTCCGGGCCACCGTCTGGGACTTCAGCGTCGTCTGCTCCACCCGCTTGCGAAGGGTCTCAAACTCATTCTGGGGGTCCAGGATGAGGAGGCACGGGTAGTCGGTGGCCCTCTGGAAGAAGGAGATGTCCGGGCACAGCCTCCTGAGAGGGGGGACAGGAGAGGCCCCGTGACTCAGGGCGGAGGCTTCAGGCGCTCCAGCGGCCCAAAGGCCATTTTAGAACAACGACAACATGGCCCTGGCCGACGTGGCTCGGGGACTGAGCGCTGGCCTGTGAACCGAAAGGTCGCCGGTTCAACTCCCCGTCAGGGAGCACGCCTGGGTTGCAGGCTGGGTCCTCTCACAAGCCAATGTTTCTCCCCCTCTCTTTCTCCCTCCCTTCCCCTCTCTCTAAATATACAATCTTTAAAAAATAAATAACATTGTATTTAAAAGCAATATAATCTTTTTTTAAAAGATTTTATTTATTTATTTTTAGAGAGGGAAGGGAGGGAGATAGAGAGAGAGAGAGAGAAACATCAATGTGCGGTTGCTGGGGGTTATGGCCTGCAACCCAGGCATGTACCCTGACTGGGAATCGAACCTGGGACACTTTGGTTCCCAGCCCGCGCTCAATCCACTGAGCTACGCCAGCCAGGGCAAAAGCAATATAATCTTTAAGAGACAATACAGTCATAATACATATACCCATCTTATGCATATTTGCAGGTGCATATATGTGTACATATACACATGTGTGTCTTGTACATATATATCCTTATGATCTTATGATTCAGCTCCCTTAAACCACAAACATCTTTCCACGCCAAAAATATCTAATGTGTACAAGAGCATTAACTGTACTGTGGTTTCAAGTCATCAAAGAGATTTGGTTAAGTGACACCTTGTACAGTAGAGTATTACACAGCTGACATGGGAAGTAAGTGTCCAAGACTAAGTGAGAAGAAAAAAATTGAGCCCTGGCCAGGTAGCTCAGTTGGTTAGAGCGTTGTCCCGACACACCAAGGTTGCAGGTTCGATCCCCGGTCAGGGCACGTACAAGAAGCAACCAAAAAACGCACAAATAAGTCAAACAGCAAATTAACGTCTGTCTCTCCACTTTCCTCTCTCTTTCTCTCTAAAAAAAAAAAAAAAGGAAAAAGAAAGAAAAGCAGCTGAGGACCGTCTCGAGAGCGCGACCAAGCGCTGAAACACGTGCACTGCAGCACACGGGCCTCTCACACTGCTTACACGCGGCACACCGCAAACGCGCCCTCTGGAAACCCGGACACCGCGCTACAGTCACCAGCAGTGCGAGACAGAACCTGTTTCTCCAGAACCGGGTTCGGGACTCGGCTCTTGATTTAAACAGGGCTGTTGAAACCCCTTGTGAACAGAGGCTGCCCCAGCCCCAGCCCGAAAACGGAGGCCGGAGCCCCCTCCTGCATCCTGGCTGGGCCGCCCTGGACCGGGCCACGCCTGGGGCCACCTGGAGATGGACCAGGGCACCGTGAGCACCGGCCGAGGAGTGGCACCCAGGGTGGGCAGCGGCCGGAAACACAGCCGACAACAGGGAAGGTGGGACCGCAAGCAGGAGGGTGGACCCCAGAGGCCAGGCCCAAAGGACTCGGCCCCACTGCAGCTGAGGCCTCCTCCCAGCTCCTCCCCAGCCTGTGGGGGGTCCACCCACGGCCACTCAGCAACCCAACAGGACAGCACAGCTTCCTCAGTTCCGTACCAAGTGGGGAAGCACACTCATGCCCACACTGCAGCTCACAATTAAAAAAAAAAACAAAACACTTATCTGACCCTGTCATTGCTGTGCTTAAAACCTTTGTACGACTGCCCCACGTCCTTGGAATCAAGTCCAAGGTCTGGCCTGTGTCTCCCTCCAGGGTGGTGTCAACCACACCGCCCTCACACTGCGGTTGGAACAGGCCGAGCTCCATGGGCTCTCAGGGCCCCCACAGGTGGGTCCCACCCACCACGGCCCTTGCCTCCCTCTTCCCCCAGGTCAGCTCCCCGGGTCTCCCCAGGAACACTGCCTCCTCAGGCAGGGGGAGCTCCCCGAACACCTGGGAGCACCCTGAACGCTTCCTTCACTGCATCTGCCACCAGAAGCGCTCATTCCGCAGAGGATCTAACTTGCCGAACGCCTGTGTTCCTGTCTTCCCACCTTCCCCCCAAGGTTCTAGGTTCCTCTGGGACAGGGACCATGTCTGTGTTCAGGGCTCAACCCTGAGCCAGGCACTGGGGCTGCCACAGAGCAGGTGACCGATGTCCATCGATGAAGGAATGATCAGATGAACCCGTAAAAGCCAGGGACAACTGACACTGAGGCAGGGAGGGGAGAGCCAGGCACGGGCACGCACGGGCGCCCCCCCCCACACCCCCTCACTGCGCTCACCAGCCCCCCGTGCTCGGGGCCCCCACCATTGGAGCCTGCTGCACCTGACTACCCAGACCGCCCACCCACAGGCTTCTCACACCCCTACCCACGCCGGGGGCCTGGGCTGGACGGGCAAAGGGCAGGACTGGGAACCGCCGCAGGAGGCCCCCGGGCCCGCGCCCAGCCCCAGCGTACCGGACGTCTTTGTCGATCTGCAGCAGCACCTCGTTGTCCTTGAAGTACGTGTTCCACCGGCTGTCGGGGCTGGGGTTGAGCGGCTGCGGGGAGAAAACCGGCTGCTGTCCTAGGCGCTCGAGGGCCCCAGAGGCAGGTGCCAGTCTGCAGGCCTGAGCCGTCGCCTCACACCGACGGCCCCGTTAGCGGCCCAGCTGCAGCCCCGAGACGGCCTTTGAGGAGCGGCCACCCAAATCCCGCTCCAACCCCACGGCTGAAAGCCCTGCTCTCCGCTCTGAGTGCATCCCTGCCAGCAGGAAGGGCTGAACTCTGTCTGCCTGCTGCTCTGGCTCTGGAACGCCGATCACAGCAGGCACTCCCTGCGGGCTTGTGGACGGAGTGAGTGGATGAGTGAAGGTGGTATCCCGGAGTCTCCTCGAGTCTAACTCATCAATGCTCTGAGTCGCCAGGGGCAGTCCTTGGACCCGTCCTGGGCCTGGGTCCAACGCACCTCCCCTTCCCGCACTGCCAAGCACACAGGGCGAAGGTCAGTGCTGGCGGGTGAGCAAGGCTCCCTCCAGGAGGCGGGAAGGCAGTGCATCCTCACTGCTGCCTGGTCTGACTCTGTTCAACTGTGGAAGGAGACCAGGCGTGCAGAGGGCCTGGCCCCGCGCTGCTCGCACAGCACGCCCCGAGCCCCAGCTATCACATGCTGCTGGCTGGTTGAGCCCGGGCGGAAAGGGACAGCGGCCTTCAGGGGCTGAGCAACCAAACGAAGAAAGGGGGTCCTGGAAGGGCCAGATGGGACCCAGACCAGCTGCACCCATCCTCCGAGGTAGGGGGGCCTTGCCCACCCCAAAGCCCACACCCCTCCCCACTCTGTAGCCTCAGGTCCCCCTGATGACCCCTACTCACATGGTCCTCAAAGGTCACATCCTCCCTGGACACTCCCATGTTGGCCTTGGCAATGCCAGGCTGGATGATCATCTCCCTCAGGAACTGAGAATACAGCTCCCTAAAGGAGACAAGCAAGGGGGGCGGCTCGCAAAGGGGTTGCCGGGAGCCGGGCACTGAGAAGCACCAGCAGGAGGCAGGGCAGGCTCGGCACCTCCTGCTCCAACACGGAGGCCCTCCCGGCAGCCCCCTCGCCCCGCGTCTCACCTCTGCTTGGCCAGGATGGAGGTCCACGAGGCTCTCTCCACGGGGAGGTAGTTCAAGAGAATCTGCACAGAGGGACAGAAGCGGAGCTCTGGGGACTCGCCCAGCCCAACGCTGGACGGTCGGTGGAGGCTGACAGGCCCCAAGGAAAGCGCCCGATAGCACCCCGAGGAGGCAGGATGGGCTGAAGCCTGGGAACGGAGGCGTGCGCCGGGGAAGCCTGCCCTCTCTTCCCCCTGCCTCCCTCCCCTTTATCCCAAAGCAGGCCTTTCCTCTTCTCTGCCTCACACAGACTCTCCCGGATGACAGTAAGACCTTGCGCTCAAAGGGGCTGGGGCTGGGGCTGGGGGGCTGGGCCTCCACTCCCATGCCAGCGAACAGCTCTGGACCAAGCTCAGCCTTTCCTGTCCCAATGTGTGGCACCGCCACGGCTCTGTCTGGACAAGGAGGCAAAGGGCTTCACCCGCATCACAAAGTGTCCCATCCCCAAAGGGATCCCGGAGCGGAACCGAGAGGGGCTGGAAACCCAGGACTTTCCGGGCCGGTTTCCCCAGACAAAGTAAGCAAAGGTGCAGAACGGAAAGAAGGGGCAGTGGGTGGGGACAACCCGTGCAGGAATCCAGGGACTTTCAGGGGAGCACAAGCCCCACCCCAGGCACACCCACCTTCCAGCAGAGGCACCGCAGTCCGCCCTCACAGGGGATGCCTGTGGACACAGCAGGCAGAGGTCACGCCCTTCGGCCGGAGCCCCAGAATCCCCCAGCCCTCCCCCTGGGAGCCCGCCGTCAGGGAGTACAGTGAGCCAGAAGCACTTCAAGAACGCTTTTCCACCACGAAGCCTACCAGGCTGGTTGCTAATCCTGTGTCTCTCTCCCCATGACCCCTGACCCTTGCTCCCTCTGTCTGGAATCCTCTTTGGAGGATAACACCTTCTTATCCTGGGTATTTCTTCCTCAGAGCAGCCTGCACCAGCCACCATCTCTTGCCGGTCAGGTCACCCGTTACAAACGGTGACTCTGCGACTTCTTCACAGCATCCATCGCTACTTGGGTTGCATAACGTAATGTGTGTACTTACTCAACTTACTCTGTCACCCCTCCTACCAGGGAAGTCCCACACAGACAAGAACCACATTTGCCCTACGTTCCCACCAGCTAGCACAGGGCGTGGCGCACAGAAGGCATTCCGCAAGCACGTGTGGAAAGTGGACTAAGCTACAGATGCAAAGTGCGTTGTGGGTTTACGCACCTAACTGTACTGAATCCCCATTATGACCCTAGTAAGTGGGGAAGAGCAGCATCATTGTGCCCATCTTACGATAAAGACACTCATCGGCCCTGGCTGGTGCGGCTCAGTGGGCGGAGTGCTGTCTGCAAACCTAAAGGTCTGGATTCCCAGCTGGATTCCCAGTCCGGGCGCGTGCCTGGGTTGCTGGCCAGCCCCCGCTGAGGGCATGGGAAAGGCAACCGATCTATGTCTCTCTCGCACATGAGTGTTTCCCTCCCTTTCTTTCTCCCTCCCTTCCCCCCTCTCTAAAAGGAAATAAAATTGTAGGAAAGGAAAGGAAAAGAAACTTCTCTGTAAAGAAACAGCAACCAAGGACTCATACAGGCCCACCTGACTCCAGAGCCCAAGCTCTTGCCTCCCTCAGCAGACAGCCACCCCCCCCCCCCCAAGGCCTGGCCCGGAGGCAGATTTCCGAGTGCCTGCACTGCCGGGACCCCTTGCTGCACTCCCTCCAGGCCCCGGGGGTCTGGCTGTCACTCCGGAACAGAAAGACGAACTTCTGCAACACCGCCGGACACCTTGAGAGGAGGCGGCTGCACCATGACCAGCAGGTGCTGCCCCCACCTCAGAATCTGCGTGGGGACGCAGGGAGCTACTCAAGAATTCCTCGCTGACAAAGTTCCACAGACAGAGCGGCGACAAGAAGCTATACAGAATACCCTGGGGGTTTCAAAGACGAGCCAAAATCTCTTGCGGGAAGGCTGCCCATGCCATCGAGGGCAAAGTCAAACCCCGCTGAGGTGCGGCTCCTTCAAGCCAGGGTCTTGAGGCGAGAATCTCACCATGAACCAAAGGTCACTGTCACCCGAGTAGGCTTTGATCTCAAGCCAGGGAGAGAACCAGGAACTACTCCGCAGCTCACCAAACGCGACAACACAGGAAGCTCGCTGGAGTGAGGGAAGACCCGGCCTGAGCTCAGGAAGCCTCCTCCCCACTCTCGCCCCGCTATCTTCAGTCCTCCCCAGTTACTCCAAGGAAGCAGCCGGCACCATTCGGATGCCGATTAAGCACCCTAAGGCCCACAGCCAAGCTAACTGTGGTCACTAAGGGTGGCTGCCACGCCTCTGGGAACACCCTGCAAGCCCAGGAGGGTCACGGTTTGTTCAGCTCACAGGACCTGGAGAGGCCTGGAGAGGCAGGCTGGTCCCCAGAACTGAGCGGGGATGGCCTGGGGCGCCTTCCCCTCCATCCTAGCCACAGCACCGCTCTAGGAAAACCCTGAAAAGGAAGTGTTGACTCTTACCACTGAAACTGAGTTCCCGAAGCTTTTCCAAGGCGATCGTGGGCTCCTTCAGGACATCCTGGAAATCTGCAATCCTAGAAGACGGGAGGAGGAAGCAAATGAAATGCACCCAAACGGAAAGACGACGGGCTTTTAGTAACCACTCCTCTACCCATAGCTCCCTTACCCTACCAGTCTCCAACCTGGTCCTCGCTCTCCTTCAGGACATAAAGGTGGCAAAGTCAGCCAAGGTCCTAATCAAAGTCAGCTTCGGGGAGTTACGGAAGTGTAAGTCCTGTCTCCTCCAAGCCCAGAAACATAGAAATACTCTTGTCCAGAGGTTCTCAAACAAGCACCATGAAGTCAGACACGTTCTATTATTTAGTGAGCCGGCATTTATTGGGCACTTCCTGCTGGCCGGGCCCAGCCCGCAGCTCACTGTCTGAACTCCATGAACCCCAGGACCAGGAGTAATTTGATCCGTAGTCAACGGACCTGTGTAACCTGCACGCAGCTCTCCAGGCTCAAAAATATAACCATTAGAAGACCTCGGGGCCTGCCTGCAGGGAAGGACAAAAGGGTTTTAAAAACAAGTCCTGGAAGAACACTGGAGACTGAGCAAAATTTAGCCAACGCGGCAGGATTTGGCCTGGGAGAGGGGTCGGACGGGAGAATCCCGGTTTCCTAACAGTTCTAGTAAAAAAAAAAACGAGCAAGGGGGACGGGCAGCGTTTGGAAAGAGGAGGGTCCTCAGTCAGAGGGTTGACAAGGGAGACAAGGACGGGACGGGGGCGTGGGGAACTGCTCATTGAGGCCCTGAATCAGCAAGACGCCGGGGCAAGAGGGAAATAGGGGTCCTAAGTCAGGGCGACATAGAAAAGGGGTGACACTGGGGGGAAGGCAGGCACAAGTGCCTCCTCTCCTAGCTCTCTAGGGCCCACGGGCGAGGAGAAGTAGGAGCCCGAGCCCCGCTGCCCAGGGACGGCTGGTGCCTGGCCGAAGCTGCGCGCCCCCTCCGCGGGGCAGAAGTGGCGGACTGGCCTGGGGCGGCCGAGCCGGCTCGGCCCAGTGGCCCCTTACCGGCTCTTGTGCAGACTCGACATGGTGTTGACTTCCGGATCCCCCTGCTGCCTCGGTCGCCTCCGCCACCGCCCCCCAGGGACGCGGGGAGCTCAGCACAGGCCTCCGGCCGGAAACGCAGCTGCCCGCGTGCGCGTTCCTACCCGTCCCGCCCCGCTCACGTGCCGCCCCCTTTCCCAGTGGCCGGCAGGGTGGGCGGGATGGGGGGGGCGAGGCCCCGCCCCCGCCCCGCCTCTACCCAGCCCGCCCGGCCTGTGACCGAGCTTAAGAACGCGCTAACCACCGTGCAGATGGTGTGGAAGGGCTGGCTCTTCCTTGCGCTTCCCTGGGCCTCACGTTCTCTCTACCTGTCACCCTGTCCTCTTCCTTGCAGGTTCCTCACCCGCAATAAACTATTGCGTCACGGTTTCAGGAACGTGCTTTCTCTACTAAACTATTCAGGTTTTTTCACTGCAAAATCTTCGACCCCTGTAGCAGTGATCGCAGGGAAGATGGTTCAATAAACATTGGATGGAAAGCTGGACTACAATTCGGTGTTCCCATTACTTTTGGATTTTATAAACAGGAAATTTACTACCACACAGCCCTGGCAGGGTAGTTCGGTTAGAGAGTCATCCCCACCCGCCAAAGTTGCGGGTTGGATCCCGGTGAGGGCACATACAAGAAGCAACCAAGGAATGCATAAATGAGTAGTACAAAAAACTAATGTTTTCCTCTCTTTCCCTGTCTCTCTCTCTCTCTCTAAAAATCAAATTTTTTTTAAAAGGAATGTATTATAATACAGAAAAGGAAAGCCAAGATTTCAGGATCCTTTCCAAGAAAAGACAGTTGGCAGCCATACAAAGATTATATCTACACAGATGTGCTTGTGTGCATTCTCGACCTTATTTTTTTAATTTCTTGAAACCCCCTCCAGCGCTCACGTGCATGCCCAGCAAGGACGTCACTGCCCCATGGGACAGGCAGACAGAGCTCTGTCCCCTTACTCACTCATCCCACAGTTTCTGCTCCTGCTGTGTGCTAGGTACTGTGCTAAATGCTTCTGCACAATGCAAAGATTAAGGTCCTTTCTATTAACTGTAAGAAACACATAAATATTGACTTAATTCACAATAGAAAAGGAATTTTTCCCAGAAAAAAAGAATACTGGCCAGGCCTTGAAAATATTGGTTAGGCCTGGCTGGTGTAGCTCAGTGGATTGAGTGCGGGCTGCAAACCAAAGCATCGCAAGTTCGATTCCCAGTCAGGGCACAGGCCTGGGTTGCAGGCCATGGCCCCCAGCAACCGCACATTGATGTTTCTCTCTTTCTCTCTTTCTCCCTCCCTTCCCTCTCTAAAAATAAATAAATAAAATATTTTTTTTTAAAAAGAAAATATTGGTTAGGAATACAGGGAAACATTCGAATGGTATGTTAGGAAAAATACAGGCTGTCAGCTATCATTTGGAAAAAAAATAAAGTTCTATTCCTACATCACATCTGACAAAAATTAATTCCAGATGAATTAAATCTCTACAAGGGAAAAATCTACGAGGCTAGAGGAAAAATATACAGAAAAGTGTTTATAATCTTGGAGAAGAAAGACACAGGCCCAGAAGACATGAAAGATAAGCCATATAAACACATAAAAATTAAAATTTTAGATGATAAAGTATAAGACAAATATCAATGGAGGAAATATGCGCATCCTTATGATAAAAGGTAAATATCCCTAACATACAGCGTTCTTAAATCAAAAGAAAAGACAAATACCCTCATAAAAAATTAACATTCTTTTAAGAAAGTTACTGAACGCCTGTGATGTGCCCACTAGATGTGGTCCCCAGTATGTTCTAGTGATTGGGAATTTAGTAATGAACAAAACAGACAAAAACCCCTGCCCTCGAAGCATCGACATTTTAGTGCGGGGAGATATGTTAAGTAAGATCAATCGGTAAACTCCATAGCGTGCCAGATGGTGATAAATCCTACAGAGGAAAATAAAGCAGGAGCAGGTGCTGGGTGGTGCCGCGATCTTCAACAGCGAGGTCCGGGAAGCTGCTCGGAGATAGCGTCTCAGCCAGCATCTGAAGGACACAAGACAAAGAAGAAATAAAAATGTCCCACTAGCCCTGGCTGGCGTAGCTCAGTGGATTGAGCGCGGGCTGTGAACCAAAGCATCGCAGGTTCGATTCCCAGTCAGGGCACATGGCTGGGTTGCAGGCCATGACCCCCAGCAACCGCACATTGATGTTTCTCTCTCCCTCCCTTCCCTCTCTAAAAATAAATAAAATTAAAAAAAAGTCCCACTGAAACCTGGAGTGACATTAAATTGGACTAATACTGCAAGGAGTATGAATTGACCAACCTCTTGGATTGCTGAAAATAATTTGTTTTAATTTGTGTTTAGAGAGAGGGGAAGGTAGGGTGAAAGAGAGGGAGAGAAGCACCAACACGGGAGCCTGTGCCCCGACCAGGCACGTGCCCTGACCGGACCACGAATCCAGCCAGTGACCTTTCACTGAGGAATGATACCCAAGCAACTGAGCCACACTGGTCAAGGGGGTAATAGTAATTTTTATTTATTACACCAACATCACTAGTTTGTGGAGAGACAGACCTCTCTCAAATAATTTTAAAGAGAGTTTAACTGGTACAGCTTTTATTTGGCAAGCACTAAAACTTTTTTTAAACGTGTATATCTTTGCTGTTTTTTACTTTTTACGCTTTTTATTTTTAAATATTATGGGTTCACAGGAAGTTTCAAAGGTGGTACACAAGTCCCTTGTACACTTCATCCAGTTTCCCTCAGTGGTTTTATTTTATTTTATTTTATTTTATTTTATTTTTAAGATTTTATTTATTTACTTTGGGGAGAGGGAGGAAGAAAGAGAGGGAGAGAAACATCAGTGTGAGAGATTCATCAACCAGTTGTCTCTCACACACCCCCAACTGGGGACCTGGCCCACAACCCAGGAATGTCCCCTGACTGGGAATCGAACTGGCAACCTTTCAGTTTGCAGGCCAGCGCTCAGTCCACTGAGCTACACCAGCCAGGACTTGGTAGTTTTATTTTAATATGGTTTTAACAGCTTTGGGATATAACTCATGTTCCATAAACTTCACATTCAAAGTGTACCCTGTGATGAGTTTAGACACACACACACACACCTGTGAAACCATCAGCACAGTTAAAATAACAAACACACCCAGGGCCCCCAAAACATTCCTTCTGCCTTTTTGTATCTCCTCCCTTCTTATTCAATTTGTTCACACGGCTCCCCGGACCCCAGATAACTGCTGATCTGCTTTCTGTCACTAAATGACAGGGACCCTAAAAAACCAGAATTCATTTATTAAAAATTGTGTATTTAGCCCTGGCTGGTGTAGCTCAGTGGATTGAGCTCGGGCTGTGAACCAAAGCATCGCAGGTTCGATTCACAGTCAGGGTACATGCCTGGGTTGCAGGCTATAACCCCCAGCAACCGCACACTGATGTTTCTCTCTCTCTATCTCCCTCCCTTCCCTCTCTAAAAATAAATAAATAAAATCTTTAACAAAAAATTGTGTATTTATTCTTCCATGCTTAAACTTCAGTCACCTTCAAAGCCCTCTCCATTTGATGCAGTACACCTATTGAGGCGTTTTCCCACTGCTTAAACCAGTTTTTGAACTCATCAATGTTGGTGCCTTTTAGTGCTTCTGCCATGGTTTCACCTCTTCCACATCAGTAAAATGTTTCCCTTTGATGACTTTTTTAATGCGGGGAAACAAAAAAAAAAAAGTTGCCTGGGGTGAGATCAGGTGAATAGGGAGGGTGGGACACGGAGGTCATGCCCTTTTTTGGTCAAAAACTGCTGAACAGTCAGCCTGGTATGGGCAGGTGCGCTGGTAAATCATCCATCACGAAACAGGCAAATGCGTTGAAAGAGTCTTCAAAAAAAATTCACTGAAGCTAGCTAAACACAGCCTCTCACAACACCACCTGGTACATTAATACAGATGGGTTCCTAGAACACTCACCTAGCAGGGGAAGCCTGTACTACAAGGGGCCCACCCAACCAGAAGCTAATTCCGGGTTTTGGGGGGCCCCCCTTACAGATTAGTGTGCAGCTTCACGAATTGTACATAAAGGGAGACATACACTGTGTACTTGGCTTTTATCTGGCTTCCCTCACTCAGCACAATTATTTTGAGATCCGTGCTTGGAGCACATTAGTCCTCTTTGTTGCCATGTAGATTCCGTTATCTGGATGCAGCCTGTCCACTGCGCCTGTTGATGGCCATCTGGGTCGTCTCCAGTGTGGGGCTGTTACAGTGAAGTTGCTGTGAATACTTATGCACAGTCTTTATATGGAGACATGCTTTTATTCCTCTCCGAGTAGAATGGCTGGATGAATTTAAATTTTTTTTTAAAAAACATCTAAACCATTTTCTAAAATAGTCATATCATTTTACACCCATACCAGAAGTATGTGAGAGTTTCTGCTGTACCATATCCTCGCCGACACTTAGCATGGTCAGTCTTTTTAATTTTAGACATGCTAGTAAGTGCGTAGCGGTATCTTGTTATTGTTCTAACATGCATTTCCTTACAGACTAATGATGCTGAGCACCTTTTCATGTGTTTCCCATCTATATATGTTCTTTGGGGAAACTATCTGTTCAAAGCTATTTCCCAGTCTTAATTGGACTGCTTGTTTTCTCACTGAAATTGACTTTTGAAAATTTAGATTTTTCTGGTTACACACCTTTTATATTTTTATTTTTTAATTCTATTTTATTGATTATGCTATTACAGTTGTCCTGATTTCTCCCCCTTTGTTTCCCTCCACCCGCATCCCCCACTTTCTCAAGGCAATACCCTCGCCCCTTGTTCATGTCCATACGTCATACATTTAAGTTCTTTAGTTACTTCTTTTCCTATTCTGTACTCTACATCCCCATGGCTATTCTATAACTACCTATTTGCACTTCTTAACCCCCTCACCTCTCACCCATTCTCCCACACACCCCCTTCCACCTCTTCATCTTCAACCGTTGGCATTTTAATTATGATGTGTGTTGGGGTGGGTCTCTGCATCCAACTTGATTGGGGCTCTCTGTGCTTCCTGAACTTGTGATATCTCTTTCCTTACCAAATTAGTAAAGTTTTATTTCATTATTTTTCTCTTTTCTTGAGATTTTAT